CTTTTTACCTCCTAAGTGTCTATAATATTGTTTTAGTTTTGTTTTACAGTGTAAACTTATTTTTCCATTACATTCTTTTTTTCCTCCCTGATTCCTTTGTCGTCAGACAGTTTAGCCTCAGGAGCATCATCTGCTATTAAATACATCTCTGTCAGAGCCTTGCTGGTTAAGTTCATCTCTTGTTACTGTCATTTATATTCTCACCTCTGCATATGCCTCACAAAATAGAGCTTCCTTAGAAGGTGGCCATGGCATGTGCCTTCCACAGGTAAGGCCTCTGTGGGCATGAAAGCTGTGTGGAATGCAGGCCACTCAGGGACATAAGCCTGTCCTCTGGGAGCACAGGATCTTTGCACTGGGTGCTGCTCACCTGGACAGCACCTGCAGAAGATGGTCTCTGTGGACCCACAGTGACTGTCTTTGAAACCTGGGCTCAACAGAACCATTTCTAGGCAGCAAGTGCTACTGATCTTCCAGGCCATGACTAATGGACAGCTTACTAATCTAAACAGCTACTTAAAGCAGATGACCAGCAAAATGATGCATGCTTTCCATAAATATCTTATTTTGATTTTAAATATGCTATGAGCACCTGTTCACCAGACTTGTGATCTGGAGCTACGATCTTCCCTTTGGTTATGGATCTGTTTGGTGTATTTTTTGCATCCACTTCATAGAAACTGCACCCTTTGTGACTCCCAGTTTCAGTTCCTTTATAGAAGAGAGAACCATGGGAAGCAACTGAGTGTAAAGTACTCCTAGACTTTTATGATTTTTATGATTCCCCTCACTATCTTAGAACTGCTTTGCCTGCACCTAATTTGGCAGCAGTTTGTGCCTAGCTGCTCCTCTTTATTGAGCCTTTCCAAAGCATTCAAGTTGGTTTTCATAGAACAAGCAGCTCTTCCTGTCTACAGCCACATGTCACTATGCAATTGCAATAGTGGCTAAGGTATTGTTTAGCCTGACTGGTGTGCAGCTCCCCTGGGGGAAGTGGTAATCAGTGGCAGGCCCAGAAAGCCACAGATATAAACCTGGGAGTCCAGAGGAAGAGTGCCTACTCTTCTAGTGGGTTGGAGATGAGGGAGTCAGTTAAGAAATGGAAGGGACAAGCAGGAGGGGGAGGAAAGGGAAAGGGAGAAGGGGGTTGACATCGATTAAGTTATGTTAAATCCATGCACCACTTCCAAAAATAAGCCCAGCATCACGTGATATTAACATGCACTAGTAAAATATGTTTATTTATAAAAAGAAAACTTCTACTATAGCAACAATCCTGCTGTTCTACCAAGTCCAAGGAAGGGTAGAGGAAGAGGGCTTTGACCCTGTATTTCTTCGTCTTTCTGGAAAATCATCGAGGTGCACATGCTCTCTTAGGAGCCATGGTGTGGCAGGAAAGCTGGTAGAGGGGCTGTGTCCCTCATGAAGCAGGGTGGGGGTAACGAAAAGGAAGTGGCAACCTGGCCTGGGGGCCTGGAGGGTTCCTGAAATCTCCCCAGGCCTGTCTGCAGATCCCTGCTGGCCTACCCTGCCTCAGCCTCCACCCCCAGGCAGACATGGAGGCAGGGAGCAGAAGAGCCAAGAATGACCTTTGTAGGCCCCAGGCGGCAGGGGGATGCCAGGGAAGGGGCCCGAGACTCATGGGGTCAGGAATGTGCTCACGGTCACGAGGGCCCTCAGGTGAGGCAGGATCTGCCGACGAGGCCACCTCTGCCTTCCCTTTGCTGGCCCTTGACCTCTTCACACTCTCTCTCAGACCCCAGCGGCTGGGCTGTGTGGATGGAACCAAATTTTAGGGGCTCTGTGTTTAGGAAGCCCCACTTCTCGTGCACTTTGAAGACAGCATATATATGTGGATGCCAGAGTCACCTCTCCCCAGAGCAGCCCGGAGGCAGGGCCTCCACTGCACTCCTGCATGTGAGTGACAGCCCTGGGAACGAGCCATGCTCACCCTGGGTCAGTGAACCAGGCACAGGTGTGTCTTCTGACCACACAGGGAGGACGGCCTAGGCCAGGCAGAACCACTGGGGCAGAAGAGACAATGCAGAGCCCATTTTCTGCCCCTCTCATCCACGGGCAGAATGGTGCTTTACAGCTGGCAATGACCAGGTCGATCTGAGGCCTGGGAGCCCACAGCCTGGGCGGTGTGCAGAGGAGAAGGGTTCTCAGGGTCTCAGGCATTTCTGCTTGGTCCTGAAGGATGACAGGCACCGTACCAGGTGGCCAGGAGCCGGGGAGCCCAGAGGAGGAAAAAATCCTGTTTGCCGCTTAGGGCAGGGAGCGAGTGGGTTTGTTCAGAGTATATAGGGCTTTTCGACACTGGTTGGTTAGGAAGCTGGACACTGTGGGATTCAGTGAGCAGTGGTCCCTCTTGTAAGAGAGTTCTCAGTGGCAGTGACCTCATCGGATTGGGTTAAAAATAGCTCTGCGGGCAAGAAGGAGACTGGATTCCAGAGGCAGGCAGTCAAGGCTGAGAGGCGCATCGGCTGTTGCTGTGGTGAGCAGACCTAGCTAAGCAGGGGAACTGCGCAGGGAGCTGGGGGCCCATCCCCGCATGCAAGGGCCCCCAGCACCTGTGGGGCACCAAGTGAGAATGCACAGGTGTGAAACCCAGAAGGCCGACAGGAAGGAAGCTGCCCCTGGCGTTTCCACAGTTAATGCAGGGAGCTGGTGACCTGGGCGTGGAGGGCCGAGGGAACAAAAGGGTTCTGAGGTTGCACAGGCCAAGAACCATAGGAAGCTCTGCAACCAGCGCCTGGAGCTGGAGGAAGAGAAGGGAAGGGGGAAGGGACAGGAGCTCAGCTACTCCCTTAGCGCTCTCCCTCCAGCGCCCCCTACTGGCAGAGTCTCGAAGGGAGCGGGGACCATGTGATCTCCAGGCTTCCAGCCCTGCATCTCAGAGCGAGGTCAGAGTGGTGACCCTGGGCCGTGCGGCAGGCCCTGCCCTCATTAAACCGACCCTGGTGGCCGGAAGAGAGGGAGAGGTCAAGCGTGACTTGCAGGGCCATTTGCTAGGGAGGTTGCAGAGCCAAGGGAAAAGACGTCTTTTGAAAGGAGCTGAGTCTGGACGGCTCGGTGGAGATGGGAAGGGAGATAACGTGGAGTCTGAAGAAGCCGCACAGCCTGTCCTTTAACCTTTGTGCCTGGCAGCATCTGCTCTTTAATCCAGCTAATGGGATCTGCTGGGGCGCCCTGCCTCTCCTTTTCAAAAATGCTTCTTGTTCCCGTGCCTGGTAGAATTGCACCTTTAATAGGAAAGTGTTTTGGCTCTTGCATTTTATTAGTTTTGCTTGAGTATGTTATTGACTTTTCTAATTGCTGACAGAGACTAATTCAGGAGATTTGTTTATTAGAACTAAGGACATTTGCCCTCCCCTTAGGCGCTTGGTCTTGTGCTGTAGCATACGGATTCACAGCTTCCCCGGGCAGAGGACAAGAGGCGCACATTCAGCCTGCACACAACCACCGATTCACTTCTGTTTCAGACACTGAACAAACATAGCTGAGCGGCGGACCAAGCTGGCCAGGCAGGGAATCTGCTCTGTGTGTTAGGAAGACCCACGAGGGCTATGTGAGAATCAGATTGAAAATGCTACATGTTCATACACAGCCACCGTTCTTTTTCCTTCAGCCTGGAGCACATTAATGTCACAGCATTTGACCATATTCACCCACACGAGTGCAGAAAATTCTAACATCCTGGCCTCTGCCAGCGCCAGCCCACTCTACCACTGCTCCCAGAGGGCATTTCCTGTCATAGCTTCCATCACGCTGCACCTCAGCTCCAGCACCCTCCCTGGCTCCCTAGGATCTCCAGAATTAAGAGTTGGCTTTTGGACTAGAGCCTTACCTGTTTGCTTTCCTGAAACATATTGTTCGCAGACTCACCTGTTCTTGAGCCTGCATGCTGACCTACAAGCCCAGCCCTTGAAAGTTACCAGTCTTCCAAGACCCATTCAGGTGTTATCTTCTTCACAGTGCTTTGTGACCCCGGGTTCCCACACTGCTTGGAGACTAACGGAGTGTGATGCTTGACGGCGTTCAGGTGACCCCGCAGAGTTCTTGTCCCCCACCGCCCTGGCCCCTCTCCCTGCTTCGCCTGCCTGCAGTGAGAGGTCCCAGAGCCTGGAGCCTACACAGTGCAGGTCTCCTTGCACCTGCACACTCCGCCTTACATCAGTGGAGCAAGGTTCCCGGTGTCACCACGCGACAGGTGGCCTTGGGCAGAAGAGAGCTGAGGGTGCAGGGAGAAGCAGTTACTGAGAGTGATCCAGGAGACACCCACTCTGTTAAAATGTGTTTCCCTCAGTTTGTTTAAGCAGCATCTCAGCATCCAGGTTGCCCCATAGAATATTCCGAAACTTTTGCAATGTATATGGATTCCCCAGAACTGTATAATATAGTAATAGTCCATATCCAGTGGGACCCAGGGTGACATATTGAGAAATGTAGGGTCAAAGAAGTAAACGAATCCTTCAACACAGGCCTTCTCAGGACCTGTGACACATCACGCACATTGCAGGGGACCAAGAAGAGGGCATACATGGGTGTTTCCCAGGTTTGTCTTTAGGCTCGGAACTTGGGGGGGCGTGTGTCTTGGGGGCCCAGTGTTTCCTTATGAGCATACCTCGGGAAGTGCTATCTTGGACTGTGGATGGCAGGCATCCTGTTGCCTGTCGTCTTTGAGGAGTGTAATTGCTGTAACCGGGTTTAGCAGGAGAGGTAGTATTAAAGACTTCCTAGATGCTATTTTTTTCTCAAAATAAAATAGAAATACAAGTCCTGTGCAGAACAGCATGGGAAACGAAGCGTAATGAGGCTTCTGAGGCAAGGCGTTCCTGGCGGAGCCATCCTTTCAAAATGTGTGTTTAGCAGTCCCGGCTTGACAGATTAAATTACAGGCGTTCCACACTGATCATTAAAGCTGGTGTGGAATTAGCTTAATTAGACACGAGCCACACAAGATGTCCCTAGTAACTCCGGTTCTATGTGTTTTCCAGTTCTTCCCCCAAAGAGCGCATTCCACCAACCCTGCCTGTGTGACTCCCCACGGCACCGTTCTCCACCAGACCCTGGATTTCGATGAGTTCATCCCTCCACTTCCCCCGCCACCCTATTACCCTCCGGAGTACACCTGTACGCCCTCAGCCGAGGCCCCCAGGTTGGTCCGCCCGCGATGCCCCGCCATGTTCCGGGTCCCAGGCGCCAGGAGAAGCAGCGCGGTTGGGGGGGGAAGTGGAAATGACCCACTCGCTTTCAGGGGCAGGTTCCACAGAACCACGAGCGAGCACGGGAAAGCATACTCGATGGGTGAGTATGCAGTGAGGGAGAAAGGACAGGTGGCTTCAAAATGGAGCACTTCTTCAAGTACCATTGCAGTGTCACCAGAAAGGAAGCACAGGCAGACGACAGCGGCCCGATCATGTTCCCGTGACGTGCAGAGCAGCTACTGAATGCCAGTCATTTATACGACATGTCAAATCTAGTTGAGGATCCCATCAGCTATATGATGATTTCAATTGTAATGGACAGCCCCATAGATTTCTTTGAAAATGTGGACATCTTTCCAGAAGAAAACCAAAAGCTAAAGTTGCCCAGCAAGTCAGGCTTTTATTTCTCAAACACGATAGGTTTTGGATGCGGGGAAAGCCTGACAATTGATGTTCTGATTGCTTTGAGAGAAATGTCAGTATTCAGGCTCCTTCTTCAGGCAGTGACAGTGTGACAGACGGTTCTGCCTTTGCAGGGGCCTCCACCTGGACTTTGCTTCCTCGCCGTTCAGCACTTTGTATGATGTTGCCATCAACAGCCCCGGCATGCTGTATCCTGCTGAGCTTCCTCCACCATATGAGGCCGTGGTGGGCCAGACCCCCACCAGCCAGGTGAGGTCGGGGCCCAGACAGCCCAGTGCCTGTGACCGCCTTGTCTGGAGACCTTCTGTGCACACCTGTGTGGGTGTAAGCCTTCCGGCAGACCCATGGGATCCCAGTTGTCTTAGTCACTTTCTCATCACCGGGACATAATGCCAGACACCCACACCTTAGGGGAAGAGAGGTTTACTTTGGCTCATACTCAGCTGGCTCCAAGGCAGAAACAGTACGCGGCAGAGGGGTGTAGTGGAGGAAGGCTGCTCAGGTTGTGGTGCCCAGGAAGCAGAGAGAGGAGGGAGATATATCCTTCGGGGTCACACCCCCAGTGACCCGCCTCTCCGGTCAGCTGTGGCAGCCCCTTGACCCAGTCACCTCCCACCTCCCAAGCTCCGCCTCTGACTGCATGAGAGTTTGGGGGTGTTGTTGATTGATCTTTTAGCCGAGCTGTGGAAGAAGCGACAGTCTCAGAGAGCAGTACCTTCGGATTCCAACCCAGGGCTGGGGACCCTACCACCGGAGCTTTCGCCTTAGCTACCCAGCTCCGTTACTGTGGCCACACATCACAACTCAGATGTGTCTGAGCTCAGTGTGGGCCATTGTGTCTAAACACTGGGCAGGACCCTCACCCCTGTGGACCCAGCACTCAGGCCACATGCCACTGTCTGTCATAGTCCACTACAGCGGTACCCAAACAGTTCCAGACCTCTGGTCCATGGCCAGGAGGCCACAGGCTGGGGAAATACCTCCACCACCAGGTATTTAGGACCTCCTCTGAGGTGGGCATGCCAGGAGATTCCACTGCCTCACAGTGCCCGATGAATACCAAGTACTCGGAGTATGTTCGAGAAACCTCAGTTTCTCCATCTGAAAAATGGGGATCATAACAGTGCCAGAGTCATAGGATGAAGTGAGATGTTTTCTGTAATGGACTCCACCTGGGACTTGGAACACAGTAAGTACTGAATCCAGAGCAACACTAATCCTTTGGGTGGGCGGGGAAGCGCTTCCGTCTTTGTAGTCATCACTATTGTTGTCCTTACTGAGCTGGACCACCCCTGGCCAGGGCAGAGAGCTGAGGATGCCTGCAGAGATCCCATAGCCCCCTGAATATAGGTCAGCAGCCTGTAGGAGGCCACAGGGAGAGATATGGGTGGGGGCATTGCTGAAAGCTGCCCCCAAGCACAAGCAGAGCGGGTGGGAAAAGCATGAGCAGGCGCATCCAAGAGGCAGTACGGAGCACATCCCGACCTCACTGCCCCGTGGGCTTCTCTGCAGCCACGGAGCGCTGGACAGGTGCCCCTCTTCTCCTTGCCGGTGTCAGGTCAGGCCAGCAGCCCAGCATACCTGCAGACTCCTGGACCACTGCCTTTCTGACGTCACCTGGAGCTCTCATCTCTGTCCCTTGGACATCCCGAGGGCCCATGTGCCCATAGGACGGGAGGCAGTGCTTTATCCCAGCCCCTGACCAGGGCTCCAGCCCTGAGGAACCTCTGGCTTCCTGTTGGCCGTGCCACCTCAGCCTCACACACCTCAAGGACAGGCACGTCTGTGAGGACAGATCCCATCTGCAGGCCAGGTGGTGCGGGATAGCGGGAGAAAGCAAGCTGTGTCCACTCTGTGCCCAGCAGAAGTGCGGGCAGTGTATTGGACCCCGTCAGGCTCAGCATGTCTCCAGAGGAAATGCTTGTCATGGGGGTGTCCTTCAGGGGGGCTTGTGCAGGCCAGCTCAGCACCAGGCCAACCTCAGGAGCACGACCCCACCCTGATCCAAGCTGACAATGCCCAAGCAGTTCCAGCTCTGAAAATCCTGGAGGAGGCTTTGACCTTTTCTGTGTGCACAGTAGAACCGGCTGTCTGGGAGATCCTGTACTGAGGAGGCAAAGGGTGACCCTGTGAGCTTGTTTCTAAATTTCAGTAAGAGAGATTCTCTTGGATTTCTTTAAAAAGCTGAACTGACCTTTGCTTTCCTGATGTGGCTTATCTTTCTTTTATAATAAAAACTAATTCAAATTCATATTCTGCAAAGACTGTGGGCTGTGATACACCTTCAGTGCTCTGCGGAGCACTTGTTTGGGGCACCCCTCCCGTACCTGTAGAGGAGTATGTAGGTATAGCCCTTGGGGTCCTGGGAGGACCCAGAGGACCAGGTGACAGAGCCAGGGCAGGTGGACTTGGGAACCCAGAAAGCCACAGGGTGTGTGATCCTCCTCCTTGCCTGCCTTGGAGAGAGGATGGTGCCACTGCCACCTCCCTACTCTGCTGAGAGCCTGCTTGTGCCACTGCAGAATTCCAGCCCATGCTGGGGACTGACTTCATCGTGCTTCCCTTCCCCATCCTGCCTTTAGTGAGGGGTCGCTTCTGTTTCCAGAAGAGACGACTGGGTGGAAGGACCCATGACTCACCGTGCTCCTCCATGGAGAGAGAAGGATAGGCGGGGTGCCGCCCCCCAGACCCTTTGTTTCCAGCGAGAACCTCTATCCAGGGTCCCCACTTCCAGCTTTTCAAGGCCATGGAATACTGGAAGCAGTTTCTGGATTTGAGGGTGACATTCAGTGCACCCCTAGACTGTGTGTGGGGAGGACACCCATTCCTGTTGTATCACAATTTTACTCTTCCTCTGAAGAATAGAATTTACTGGAGGACAAAAATACTTTTAAGACCATCAGGACACTGTTCTCTAACTGCGGGAATGCAATGCGCTATGCTGAGATTTCTTTCATGGATCTTTGGTGCGAAGAGCTTTACAGTCGAAGCCTTGTCTCTCTCGGCAGCGCTTGTGTTAGCTCCAAACCCTCCAGCTCAGGAGTGTGCGCACAAACACCATCCACTCCGGAGCAGCCCAGGCCAGCGTGTCTGTCTGAGTGGCCTCTCCCCTGGGGAGCAGGACAGCATCTGGTGATTAAGGGGCTGCTGTAGCCCGCAGACCAATTCTCTTTGACCCAGGGTTGGGGGCACTTTTTAATTCCACAAACATCTCCAGGAGTCTGGAAGTCAATGAAACCCATTACCATCCACAGAGGGATGCCAGCTGCCCCCTCCTCTGCAGTGGCCGGTTCCCCCTGACTAGACAGTGAGGAGCTGCCCCCCTTCCCAGCAGGAGCCATCTCCCTGAGTGAGACGGAGGTTAATTGCTTCCCCTTGTTAGGACAAATGCCACATAAATTACCTATCACCACTCATTTAGATAAAGAGAGGAAGGGAGAGTGAGGGACTGGAGCGAAACAGCACTGTGGGCTCTGTGGAGGGCCAGGAGATGGGCATTACTGGGAAAATTTTTATTTTCGAGACAGTGTCTCTCTATGTGGACCAGGTTGGCCCTGAATTCCCTGGGCTCAGGCAATCCCCTTGGCTCGGCATCCCAAGGAGCTGGGTCTACAGGCACACGCCTCGACTCCCCCTGGGGAGGGAATTTTAATCTGGGAAGGAAAGCAGTCCTTGAGTAAAGATATTCTCTTTCCCTCTGGGTGGGTCACACATGTTCCCTTCCGGCTTAGGTGGCAATGTCATTGTCTTTCCCATGGCTCTGGACTCAGCAAGATCCCAAGGAGTAGATTCCTTTCTGCGGGAAGAGAATCTACCAACTTGCTATTCCTGTTGAGGCGACAAGGGACCACTTCTGACAGTGCAGTGGTCCAGGGGTTATAGAGCCATGAACTGGGCAGAATCCTCTCTCTCCAGCAGTCTAGGTGGTGACGGGACAGGGACAAATAAATTTCTCTGGGGCTTCAGGGGAAGAACTGAGCCCAGCAATCTGGGTAGAGCTGGGGTGCTTGTGAACAAGGGGGTCACCAAGGTGCCAGGGCACAGCATGATCAGCAGCACTGAGGGGGCATCAGTGCCTGGCAGAGGAGCTCCAGGTGCAGGAAGGGAGTCACCAAAGTCACCTGAGCACACATCTTATGACTTTGGATGCCAAATCTTTGAGGAGTTTGGCATCGGGGTTGAGTGACCCAGTGGTGCTCGACGAATTCCATTTGGTGGCACTATGGTGAGCACGGGGAAATCTGAACACAACGCTAGAAGTCATGAGAAAGGAAATGGGCATGGTACAGTGCCACCAACCCTAGGCCCTGAAAGTTATTATTCACACGTTCAAAGGAAATGACCTGCACACGTTTAAGTAAGTGACGGAAGTGTCTTCAAAGATGGCCTTGAGCATGTAACTCACATTTTCTGTGATGGCTGATAATTGCTCCTAAATGACAGCTCTTCCTAATTCTGGTACTAGATAGGTAACCTCACCAGGAGTGAGAAACTTATTACAGAAATGGGGCAGAATTTCCATCCAGGGTTAGCCAGGAAGCTTTCTAATAGAAGATAAGAAGAGATCTGGCTGATTTGCCTAATTACCATTGATCTTTCAGTTACAATGAGTGGTCAAAATAGCCTCTCTGAGATTAGGAAGTCCCAGGTTAAGTTGCTGGTGTAGCCTCTTTTCAAAATCCCCCTGACTCCCCCGCTCTGCAAGGTGCTGTTTCTGAGCCTTTGTCGCTGAACTCGAATTTCAGCTTAAATTCCATGCCACACATGTATTTCCTCTCCACCCTCCTCTGCGGCCTTTGTGGCTCACGGCAGTGCTGCATGAACAGAGCAGCTGTCTGCCCTGCCACTTTTAACGTGGCAAGGTGGCTTCTGACATCGAGAGAGGCTCAGTTTGAATGAAAGCCTTGGCGCTCTGCTAGTGAGATGTGGTAGATGCGCTCCCAGGAGCTGTCTGCTCTCAAAACCAAATGTTCTGGCTCTTGAATCCAGGGTACCAGAGGGAAGTGAGTGATGCCTCCACAAAACACGAGACAAATCCAATTTCCTCCTGACCTTGTCCTACTGTGTATTTTATTTCTCTTGTCTTATTTATATTCCTTTATTACAGAAGCTTTACCCCCAAGCAGCAGGTTTGTAAATTACCACTCATCCCCCCACCCCGCAATCAAGAAAAAGATGAGCTATTGGAAGAGAGCTATGAAATGCAACAGACCTTCAGGGCGTTGCGATTTAGTGGAAGATTCTTGGCAGGGATTTCCAAAATTGGTTATTGGCACATAGTGATTACAGCAAAAAGAAAAACAAAAGGTGAATGCCGATGGTGGTGTGAATTCTTCCCCTCCCGATTCCCTCCCTGGCAGGATGAGAGGCTAAGGAAGGAAGATAGCAAACACTGTGTTTTTCTAAAGAGCATGAGTGGGAACCCCCACCCCTGGCACGGGAGCAGCGCACACCCTTTGTGTTGGCTCAGCGGCTGCAGCTGGAGCCACCTGCCTGAGTGCCAGCCTGGTCGGCGGAGGCGAGATGAAGAACATCAGCTATCTGATTGAAGTGGCGGGAGCCCAGGGAGGCGGAAATGTAATTACCTGAGCTGGAATCGGACCAAGCCGCAGGGGCCAGCCTCACCTCCTCCAGCCTCCTCCGGAACTCATTATTTGCAAGCGTGTCCCCAAAGCCATTCTGAAATAACTCAAGGAATCAGAAATTGTTTTCTGAGCTAGCACAGGGGCGCGTGGCCGCGCTCGTGTGATGTGTGAATGGTACTCTGCACATTCAAGCACAGGGCCCAGGGTGCCCTGACACAGGGATGGGACAGGTGGGAACCGTGGGCACAAGACAGGCAAGGTGAGGACAGTGCAGGAGCAGGGCCCAGCCTTTGCCCGTCGTGTTCCGGAGGCCTCCCTGGGTAGAACAGGAATCACTCCAAGAGGAAAGCTGCAGGCGCTGGATGCCTGTTGAACTGGAAGTGGGCTCATAGCTTCTCCTTCCACAATTCAGGGTGGCACTTGAGCTGCCATGACTGTTGAGTTTCTGGGCCTGCACTCAGACCAACACCCCCCACTGTATGGACCTGGGCCCTGACCCCAAGCTCGAGCAAGCACCCCCTTCCCCGTGAAAGAGACCAAAGAGCAGTGGCACGAGTATGCCTGCGAGGGACTGGGAGCTCACTCAGGCTGTGCCTGTTTATCAGTTGCCCCTTTCATATCCAAAGCATGCTTCGTGACGCTCACGGGTCTCGTGACCATTTGTCCAGTGTCTTTATTCTTCCAGGAGTGGAAACCACGCTGAAAGAGTGGATGGGAGAAGCGGGTGGAAGTGAACGCAGGGGCTGTGCTATGCTCCACAGCAACTCTGGGCAATTCTGTGTGGCCTTCCTTGGTCCCAAACAGTGCTCATAAGAGCACAGGCTGGTGTGTGCTAGGCCCCTGGAAGGTGCTCCGATTGCAAAAGGCCAGAGAAATGCCTTTGCCCTTGGCAAGGGTGACTTCAACTCTTATTCCTCCACTCAGATGTAATGGAAAATAGTGGAAATGTCTATATGTGTCTCTTAAAACTTCGTCCTCAAAGATGAGCTTTAAAACCAGCCTGTGGGGTCGTCTCTTTGATCCTCACGAGATCAGTTTCAGGACTCCCTCAGATACCCAAATCCACAGCAGCTTAGGTCCCTATATAACACAGTGTAGGATTTTATGTAACCTACACACATCCTACCCTGTACTTTCAGTCGCCTCTAGATTACCTACAGCACCCTTCATTTGCATGGACTCAGCATAGTACTTGTTCATGGAAATTTAAGTTACGTTTTTTGGAACTTTCTGGAATTTTGTTCCAAACACTTTCAATCTACAGTTGGCTGATGCCATGGAATGTGAGAAATTCCACCTTCCCGGGGCCGACAGCACTCTGGAAGCTGCTAGGATGTTCCTGAGCCCCCTGGTGACTGCTTTGATGCCTTCTGTTGCTTCTGCAGGTTAGCAGTGTGGACCACCAGGTGGCCGAGCCCAGCCCTGGGGACCCGAACACCACCGCGGGGTTCAGCACACCAGGTAACGGTCCCTCACTCAGGATTTGAGGTACCAAGTTTATATTTTTAAGGATGTCTCTTGTCTCCCTGTTTTCTGCCCTTTGCTGTTTCCCCTCTACATTCCTTACTCTTAATGAGGGTGCAGTTTGTAATCCTTCCCCAGTAAGTGCCACCGTTCTCCATGCCTCTTCTCTGACCTGCTCCCATGCAGCAATGCCAGGAGACCTCGTGCTTGCTCTGGGGGAGGGGGCTTCCCCCAGCCCCTCAGTACCTTTCTCTCTCACTTGAAGGATATGGATTTGAATAAAAACCCTACTCAATTTGTAGCCCACCCTATCAGGAGCAAACATTGTATATATGATGGTCCCTGACTTACAATGGCTTGACGTGTGTTTTTCCAACATCATAATGATGAAAAAGCACATCCCAAGTACACATTCAATACAGGCTGTGCTTCCAATTTTGAATTTAGATCTTTTTAGGAAATTACATGAGATGGTCCATACTTTTATTATAAAAGAGGCTTTGGATTGAACTGTCGGCTAATGGACAAGTGTTCTGAGCACATTTAAGGTAGGCTAGCCTAAGCTGTTATGATCAACACGTTTGGCGTAGTAAATGTATTCGTGACTTAACCTTACTTACAACTTAGGATGAGTTTACCAGGATGCTACCCCATTGTAAGTTGAGGAGCACTGCACCAGGCTCATGTCTACTAGCTCTCCCTCAGAAGGATGTGGGCTGGGTTGGGGCCTTCTGAGGGAGAAGCTGGGTGGAGGGCAAGGCTGGAAGTCATGTACTTGGAAGTAGGGAAGGGCAAACATGCAATGTCACAGTCCTATAATGGGAGCTGCAGTGGAACTGGGTGTGGGGAGGTGGTCTGAGGCATTGGGAAAACAGAGGACCTCAGTAGCAGAGGGAGCAAATGGGCAGGGGCTGTCATTTCCAGAGAGTTGCACTCTTGGGGACCCCAGACGGGATCATGGGGGCAGGTCTTTTGAACTGAGGTCAGATGACTCATGACAGCCCACAAAGAACCAGGAGTTCAGTCCCAGGCTCTCTACCCTTCCCCTCAATTTGTAGCTAAATCGAAGAGAAACAGGAGGAGGCCACCCTCTTGGGAGGTCACCTGTGGGCTGCAGGGAGCGCTGGTCCCTGCAGTTATGGGATTCACAAGTGACCTTGCCCTTCCCATGGTCACTCCAAGAAGCCATCGTAAGCTGCCCTAGAGGTGGTATTCCATGCCTTTCCGGGGGCTTCTCTGGGGCCCAGTGTGTCCCAGTCCCCTGCCACAGTGTGACCACACCATCCTGCTGCATTTTAGGTTTTGCACCCCCCTTTTCTGGCCATGAGGCACCTGATCATGGCTCATTCTTAGGGGAAACATGATTGGAAAGACAGACCAGGGGTAGCCCCAGCACCCAGACTCCTGGAGGAGGTGCCCAGCCCCTAGGGGTCAAGAATCTACCGGGGACTGCTCACCCGGGCTCATAGGAGAGCAAGCCCAGCAGAAAAGGTACTTCCCAGGCAGGTGATTATAGCATCCCAGGGCAGGTGGTGAGAGTTCTGGGTGTCTGTTTGTTTGTGGGGTACTGTGAGTATCCCATTGCTCCAGGCCATTCCTTGCTTTTGTCCTTTAGTCAAAAGCCAGCGATCTTAACTGTATCTATTTATCTCTGGGTTCTCTGTCCTGTTCTGTGGATCCATCTGTGTGTCTGTCCCTCTGTCAACACCACACTGACTGTAACCACAGCTCCAAATTTAGCCATAACATCTGGAAGAATAATGTCCCCCAATTTATTCTTCACGATTGTTCTGGCTATTCCAGGGTCTGTGCTTTTGCATATACATTTTAGAACCAGATTATCTGCATCTTCAAAAATCCTTGCAGAGATTTCTGCAAGAAATGCAGAACTGCATTAAACCTACATAGAGCAATTCAGAGAGAATCGATGTCTTTCCTATGCTGAGCTTTCAAGTGCATGAACAAGTATTTCTCTGCATTCAGTGGAGTCTGTTCATCCTCACTATAATTTGCAGCATACCGTCCTGTCCATGTTTGGTTAAATATACGGTCATCCCTCAGTATCTGTGGGGATTAGCTTCAGGGCCTTCTTAGATACCAGATTCTAAGGATGGATGAGTCCCTTAAATAAAATGGCCCAGTACTTACATATAATCTGTGTGCATCCTCTCATGTACTTTAAATCATCTCTAGTCACTTATCAAATACAAGTAAATGCTATGTAAATATTGTACTGTATTGTTCAAGGACAAGAGAAAAGGGTCTGTATATGTTCTGTGTAGATATAATTTTTTTATTATTTTCAGTCTGTTGTTGATTGAGTTCCTGTTATGTGGAACCTGTGGATACAGAGGGACAATCACATACTCAAGTATCTAGGTTCCTTCAAAGCAGTTGTCAGTGGTATTGCCTAAAATTTCTCTTTTTGCATATTCATTGTTAGTCTGTGACTTGACTGTGCAAAAGAGGAGACATATGTTGATCACGTGTCCTGCTACCTTGCGGAACTTAATTTTAGTCCTATGCATTTTCGGAGTAGATTCTGGTTCTTCATCTATTAAAACAACAAAAGAGAGATCAGGATTGGATGCTGGCAAAGCCACAGGGAAGCCACTGCCTGTAGTCCCAACTAGCATTGTATAAATAGTGTGGATTTTAGGGCTCTTTACCCAAAATACTTGGCCAAGCAGATTTATCCAGGGGTGGTGAACCTAAGGCACACATGGTGCAGCAGGCTGTTTGTATCACTGAAAGCCCTAAAAGGTTCACCATCACCGGCAAACAAAACTCTACAAATGAAGATGATTCTTTACATTTTCATGCAGTGAGAGAGACCCTGCGGAACCATGAGGTCTATTAATAAGAGTTTAAAAAAATATGTTGTATATGCTAAATACATTATTATACATCAATTTTTTTAAAGTGCTTGTGAAAAATTGGGAGCTCATTAGGATTATGACTGTCATAAAAACATAAGCACACAGCACAACCCCAAAGACAGTGGGCAAAAATCAGTCACTAGTTTTCAGCTGGGTGCCGTTCCTGTATCATTATGATAATTTGAGGAGTTTCTAATAATTTCTGTATCTATATTCAGCACCAGGCCACCTTTGTCTCTCTGTGACTCCATTTCCCTGGGGAACTCAGTCATTGGATAATCCCTGATGTTAAGAGTACTGGGACCAAGAGGAATCAACAGGCATGAAAATTATTCAAAGAATTTTGATACACTGCTGTGTGATACGCTAGGGAGTAACTGATAGGATTTGGGTAGGGTTAATAAATGCAATTCTGAGTTTGATTTCTCTGTTTGGTACTGGAGATTGAATTTGGGGCCTTCACACTGAATTACATCCCCAGCATTTTTTTTTTAATTTTTATTTTGAGACAGGGTCTCACTAAGTCATTAAGTTGCCCAGGCTGGGCTGGCACCTTCAGTCCCCCTGCTTCAGCCTCCCAGAGAGCCAGGATTACACATGTGCGTCACCATGCCCAGCTGCAATTTTCTGATGATCTGATAAAGGTTGCTTCTTTTCTACGTGATCTGTTCATCTTTGAGCACTTGCCCAGTTGTGTCCTGGAATAAACTCCTAGAGGTGAAATTTCTGAGACCAAAGGAGTATTTTGGTTTTAACGTCTTAGCCACGGTGCATTCTGGGAAGGTTGTATTACTGGTCCACTTTCGCACCAACAGCACGAGAGGCCCCAGGACACTGACCTTTCTGATGACCTTCATCGTTCTTCTAGGTGAATGACTCGCACACAGTGCTGGGCTGGAGCAACATGTTCCACGTTTCTTGGCTATGCTGATCTGGTTTTGAGTCATTTTTGTAAAATCTTACATTGTTTGGGGATTTTGGTGTTTCTCGTAGATTTAACAGAAAAACATTTGTTAAGAGACAGGAGAAAATGTGTAAGGCTAACTCCTTTCCTATTTATGGCAACTATATGTTCTCTGTTTCTCCTGTACTTTCCCTCCTGTTAATGATGCCTTATTTCATACACACCTTTACAATGTGGTGTTGTCAACTTTCAAACTTTTCCTTTACAGTTTCTATCATGTTTACAAAGCCAACACTATAGGCTTATTTTCATATATTTTCTCCCACTATTTTTGGAGTATCTTTACTAAGAGAAGGATTAATCTTCCTAAAATTGTTCTGTGCTTGTTTCTGCTTTTGCTTTTTGCATACAGTGTGTGAGGTGCTGTTCATCCTGCTCTGTTTTTCCAGATGGACCACTAATTGCCCCCAACTACTTATTGAGGAGGGGGCGGTGGTTAAGTGAGAGTACTCTAGATTCTTCCAACCAGCTCCACCTCTTGGTGGCTGTGTGACCCTCTTCCCTTTTCTAAGCCCATGGATTGGGCTGTGGAAGGGGAGAAACTGGTGCCACCTTAGAGGTGGCCCAGCATCACTGGTCAAGAGCACTGGGGGTCACAGCTCAGTGGGCGTCTGAATCCCACAGAGGAGCCAGTGGGCCAGGCCCACCACAGGTTCTGATTCTGTGGGTCTGGGGTCTGGCTATTAGTTTCCTTCTCTCTCTCCCTGCCTCCCTCCCTCCCTCCCTTCCCTCTCCGTCATTCCTTCCTTGAGATGCTAGGGATGTCACCCAGGGTCTCATGCATGCTAGGCAAGTGCTGTACCACAGAGCTTCAACCCCAGCAAACCCCTAGTTTGCATTTCTGACTTGTTCCCAGGTAAGGTTCATGTTGCTGGCCCTGGAACTCACTTTGAGAACCAAGGCAGGCATCATGTAGACTGGATTTATCCTACCTGCCTGGCGTAGGGGCTGTCCTCCAGACCCTGGTTTGTACCCCCTGCCTGGACCTAAGTGGGATACCAGATGTTCCCCAGAGTCTCGCCCCTCCCTGCACAAGCCCTGATCATCAGGCATCCATGGGACCAGAGCATCCAGTCTCTGGTTTCCAGTCTCCTGGGGCAGGAAGTGCCTCCATACCTCCCACCCCCTTCCTGGCATGACTTTTGGGAGATCATCTGGTGCCCCAGTCTTTCAACACCATACAGCCGCATCTGTCACCTGCTTCAGTGTTCCCATGCTCCTGAGACTTCAGAGCTTATTTAAGTTCAGAGTTTAAAGGACAGGCGCTGTCCCTGTGTCGGGTTGGCCCTGCGGTCACATGCCCTAATGCTTAGCCCATTCTCTTGCAGCTCCAGCCAGTAGCCTGAGCCTCGCAACATCAGACGGCGCAAGCTCACCAGGCCTGAGGCACTCGTCCCCTGCTGGCACTGCAGTCACGCCACTGCCCCTGCCACCTGCCCCAAGCCTCCATGTGTCCCCGGAGGCTACAGATATAAGGGTACAAGCACAGCCCAGTCCTGGCCGTGTGGCCCGCTCCGCCAGTGACCCCATCTCCTGTGCATCCAGCGAAGCAGGTATGGCAGGAAGCCCACCTGTGTCCCCAGGGTACCTGGCCTGCCCTGGACAGCACAGATCTCACTGACCTCTGAGAGCCGATGCCCAGAACTGGGAGCCTGGGGAAGGGGGTCTGGATGTCTGAGGCCTCGAAGGGGAGGTGGGAGGTGAGGGCCAGGAGCCCCTGCTGTGGCCCCACTGGGGTTCACTCTCTCAGAAGAAGAATGCGAGAGCTTAGGGAGACGAGAGCCCACAGGTGGCCAGCCAGCCCTGGGCACCAGCTGTGAGTGCCGCACACACGCTGCAGGGGCCAGAAAGAGCCACGTGTCAGGCCAGGGCTGTCTGAGAGGTGGGGCGAGTCTGGGCCAGACGAGTGTGCTCTCAGCAGCACTCTCGGCCCTGTGCCAGTCTCCTCGTTCGGCCTGCAGTGTGTGGGGAGTCTCCCTGTGCGACGGCAACAGTGGGCAGCAGGTCCTGGCACCAGAGTCCCGAGGCCAGCAGCCCCAGGAGTCTCTGGCGCCCTGGGGGTGCAGAAACCGTATCCCACCCTTCTCGCTACTGGGGAAGTTGCGTAATTTCTGCCTTACTGGTGGGCCTATCACTGCACTCCCGTTGCAGTAGGAACTTTTTCATAAAGTAGGGGGGAAAGAGTCCTGCAGAAGGCCCAGGAGGGCCATGCACCAGTCATGCCTCAGTGGTCTTGTCCGGCTGAGCCTGAGAGAGAGCCCAGGGTCCAGCCATGCCAGGGGAGAATGGAAACCCTGAAAGGAACCAGGATTCGGCAACAGTCGAAGCCTGGAAGCATCCTCCTGGTTCAAAGAGCACGTTGTCCACCTGCATGCGTTGGCTGAACTCCCATCATCTCTCTTTATTCTCCCCCAACCCCCAGGTGCAGCTGTCAGCTCATGTGGCCCTCCAGGGGCCTTCTTTGGCCTGTTCCCCTCGAGAAACTATGCTCTATGAACCACAGGGCCCTAGGGATGAGAATGAGGGATGAGGACAAGGCCACCATTCCTCTTCTGCATCCTGACCCCAGCCTGTTGCTTCTGTCTCCTCTGGGCCAGATCAGGCTGTTAATATCCTGCATGGAAAGCCCTGCGCCTTCGGGGTCCCCAGGAGCCCTCTGATGAGGAGGGCATTCTGATGCCAGACCTTGGGCCTGTGAGAGGCACGGGCCTGCATAGGCCCCGGGAAGGGACCGGTGCTGAGCCACGGTGAGCCTGGCAAGCTGCAGAGCGGTTCCCTTTCATCTGCAGGCAGGTTTACCTCTGCTTGTCTGGCATCTGAAATGTACATCTTAGCCACAGGCAGGCGGGGAGAGTTTCACCACTAATTCCTGTCCCTTTCATGTGTTAACTGAATTCTCTTCTGGTTCAGGCGATGCCTCTTCACATCCTGCTTCTTGCAGCCAGGACTTTGGAATGAGACTGTCTCAGGCTGCTCTAGGGACAGGTGAGGCTTCCACTTCACCCTGCTGTGAAGTGGGGCTGTGACCCCGGGTCCTTGCTGCACTGCCTCTAAGGCCAACTCCTCCCCCTGTCACCCAAATGCCAGCTCCAGGCTCGCGCTCTGTGCAGTTGTATCAGAGGCCACAATGCTTTCTCCATATGTAAGGCTGCTTGTTTCAGTTTGTTGATGAGATTTTATTAGGAGGTTGACTGGCCCAGCATGGGAGTTTTTTACACTTTCTTACGTTTACTTCTGGGCTTGTCATTGCCATCCAAGTGTCCAGAACAGACCACCTAGCAGGTGTCTGCCATGGGACTTAAAACAGGTTTGGGGCAAGCTGGGTCTTGGTGTGGTCCTTGGCGAGGGACTGCCTGGGGCTGGCTGCCTCCAAGGCGCCATCTGACCAGTGCTTGTTCTACGGATGACACACGCAGAGCCATGTCCCCTGCCCCTGGCTGCTGTCCACACCTCGGGTGCTGGAGGAAGTTCTGGTCTTAAGGCAGATCCTGATTCTGCCCAACCCACAAACACACCCAGAGGGACAAAGGTCATGGAGCTGGGGAAGGCTGAGAAGGACGCTAGCTCAGAAATTCTAGCAGGAGGCGAAGGGAAAGCAGGTCCCAGCGCTGTGCCAGCCCTAACTCTAGCCTGCCTGGCCTCTAACTCCCCACCACCATCTTCAGTCCTTCAGCTCCCAGAGGCTACAGCCCCTCCAGGTTAAAACCGGCTTAATTCTGGGCTGAGATGGGACATGGGAAACAGGGGCAGAAACCCAGCAGAAAGCCTGTCTTCCCCAGGCTTTTGTTTGCTTCCTGAAGAGCCTCAGAGCTGCCTTTGGTTTGGTTTGGTTTCCGGTTGTTCTGAAACTGCGTCTTTCCCCTTGACTTACAGTGTCTGTGTCTCACTCTGCCATGGCTGCTTGTCAGCACCAGCTCCCACCCCCCAGGGTCCCTGAAACTTGGAAAATCAACCACGAGACAAAGCCAGAGGCCTTACAGACGGTCTCCAAAGAGCGGCCCCGTTCACTCATGGACAGCAAGGCCTATGCAGACACCAGGGTTCTGGTGGCTAAATTCTTGGAACACTCGCACTGTGCCCTCCCGTCTGAGGTGCGGCATGTGGTGGGGACCATCCGCTCCGTGGTCACCTCTGAGGACCGCCCAGTGGAGGAGCCCAGCTTTGGTGCTGGCATCGTGGACCAGCTGTGAAGCAACCACAGATGTGAACGTGGATGCTGACAGGCCTGGTGTCATGCGTGGCCTGTTCCTGCCAGAAGCCACTGTGTGTGCCCGGGAGGGGCCTTCGCCTGGAGTGGCAGAGGACAAGTGGGGAACACCCGGGAGTATCTTGGGATGGCTCAGGAGCAGAACTGTCAGTCTGTCTCAGTGGATCCAGTCGGTTGTCTTCTTGGGGATTGCATTCGCTCCCTGCTCCAGTGATCCGAAGATGACCCTCTGCTGTCCTTAGAGAGCTTTGGTTCAGGCAGGCATCTGGAACTGACCAGCGTGACCTGAACAGCAGTGCAGCAACAGGTGACCCTCGTGTAACTTAAAGACACTGCATAGCTTCCAGGTCAGGGCCGTGCAAGGAGGCGTCTCCTCCATCTTCAATTTAGTTTAATGTTAAGTAGATAGAGGACGACAGCAAATAACGGGGCCATTTTCCCACATGACTTGTACCACTCTATAATGAAACCTTTATCATGTTCTGACCTCTTATTTCCTTTAAAAGGAAACAGATAATTTTAGCACAGGGGCCTGGGCCCAGCTTTTTAGCTCTAGGGCTACAGGGCTGTCGTGCAAACAGGTACACAGCGGGGAGCCCCTGTGGCCCAGTCTCCTCTGGGAGGCAGGGAGGTATCACGAGGGCTCTGAGGGACCCACCAGAGTTCCTGGGTCCCAGGGCTCCCCAACGAGGCCTCTATCTATGGGCCTCTTTCTCCCCAGGCTCCCCTCCCTCTAACAGGAGCAGACACTTGAGCTGTTATTCACCTCATAACCATAAGCACCTGGCCAGCGCCCCTTTGGGAGCATCCCCTGGGTATCCACCTTGCCTGATTGACCTCGATCAAATTCCAGGGGAAAGGGACCTTTTCCTCCGGGACTGAGAACCTCCTGCTGAAACAGGCAGATCCTCATGACTCAGAGCTGTCCCTCCCCCAGCCAGGTGGCAGCGGACACACTAGCATTGGAGGGCACGAATCCTGAGTTGCTTATTTCCATGAGAACATCCACTGCATTGGTTGTGCAGAAGCGAGCGAGCCCAGCTTGGGTGCCTTTGACTTTCTTGGCCTCCCCGCCCCTCATTTTCTGGCAGCTCCCTCACACTAAGCATGTCCTGCCGTGCTAGAAACACTTGTATCTGGACCCTGCTAAACAGCAGCCTTTAGCACGTGGACTATGGGGCCCTTGAACTGTGGCCAGTGTCACCTACTTTGGACAAAGCAGCCCAGAGCTTATGGCCGGACGTAAGAGGGCTTGGCGGTGGACCAGAGGGTGCCCACTATTGCTCAGTGCCCAGCTTGGGGCTCATGCAGCTCTTTCCTATATGCATGGCCTGTGCCTGCCCTTGAGTCCTCCCCTCATTGCTTGTCTTCAGCCCGCTCTCCTTTGGAGCCAACGTGGGGGGGGGCACTTCTGTGTGTAAAAGCCGAGAGGGGGGTGGCTTCTAACCCAGCTATGGCATAGGAATTCCCCAGTGATGTGCAGTTGCCAATGCACTGCTTTCCTGTTGTCATTGGTTACTGTCTCCCGGAAGTTAGAGAGCTGAAAAAATATCAATCAGGCTTTTTGATGGCAATCTTGCCTTTTCCACGAGAGACATACTAGAGATGCATTTATGAGCACTTTATTCAGACTATAAAAATGGGAAATCTGTTCTCTAATTTTTCTCAAGTGATGGCTTTTGAAGTCCCCAAAACAAGTCCCTCTGATGGTTTTTCAGGATGGCCTCCCCTGAGCCCACAAACTGGAGAATTTACATTCCGGTGCCTTGCCCTTGGAACCAGAGCATTGATATCATCTTCATCGGAGCTGGGTGGGACCACAGCCAGCTGCAGGGTGCTTGCTGAGGGGCCCCTGTTGGCAGTGTCTCAGAGTCAAGCCCTCTGCTGGGCGAAACGTACAAATCTCAGACCTGGCTGCAATCCAAGGGAAGGCCAGTCCCACCCCACTACTTCAGTTCCCGGAGGGTTTTTGTAGTGCAGGAGGAGAAGTGGCCATGGGCAGGCCAGTCTGGTGTGTGTCTTCCACTTCTTCGCCTCCTGCAGCAGGGCCTTGTCATCTGCTATTTGGGGCTCTTGGGCCAGGCCGTGTCTCCCTACACATGCAGGCTGATACTGTGGCCTGGAAGCCTCCTTGGTACCCAAAATCTTAAGAAAGCTGTCTATGCACCCACTTATGCTCAGTTCTGCGTCTGCTCCCATAAGAACTCTGTCTTATGGATAAAGAAACTGCCCAGCTTTAGACCTGGGCTGGAACCTTTTGCCTCCTAGAAAGAAACAAGGCTGTCAGGGATGATGGGCTCTATTTGGCCCACCTTCTAGGGCCTTGGGTACCCATGTGGGCAATAAGGTTTGAACTCCAGACTTGCAGGTACCCAGGGGACACAAGTGCCGGTAACAGCCACCGGGATGCTGGCAACTTGACCCTTCACCTCTGATTCCCAACTCTGACTGGCAGCCTCCTGGGACTCGAATCCCCAGCAGCAGCCCCAGACTCCAAGCAGCATTGGGCCCCCAGACATCGGAGAGCTGGCTTCCTCCCCAGCACGCCTGTATCCTTCCCTTCCAGAAGCCTGTCCTCGGCTTCCTGTTTTGGTTGGTGAAAGGGCTGACGATGGCCGTTTTTGAGGCAGTTCTTCCCCTCAGCTTGCCCCGGTCCTGCTACAACAATGCTCTTTGACTCAGGAGAGGGGCCGAGGGTGGGATGAGGGTGCTGAGGTTGATGAACTCTGGACCCTGACTCCCAGGCAGACGAGGGGCACATCATTCACAAGGACTTACGGTCTCCTTTGGCGGGAGACCGACAATACAATGAAATGCTTGTAAAACACCATGAAAGCTTATTTTGAATGTTCTTTTCCTCCCCACTCTGAACTCACAGATGCTGCTGAGGCAGAATGTATAGGAAATTGTTTTCAAGCCACCAGAGACCTGTTTGTACAACTGGAAAGGTTGTATTTATTTAATGTACCTCAAGGTGTTTTAATAATGATCGGTGTTTTAATAAAAAGTATTTCTGGTCTGTGTCTCTGAGGTCTAATTGGGACAGAGATAAGCACTGCGGGCCAATAGTAGGGTTCTGGAGGGCTCGGGCTGCTCTCCCTGTCTGTGGCTGCTCAGCAGGGGCCTCCTACAGCTGCCCAGCTGTGCTCCAGGGGTTGCTGGGGAGGCAGCCCAAGGCTCAAGGTCCTGCCCATGCCAACCCCCACTGCACCTCCATGGACGTCCCCCGTAGACTTCTGGGAGCAAGCTCAGAGTTGAACTGTTTTTAATGTGTATCTTGGGCGTTGTGCCCCCATGTCACCTGCTGGACTTCCTGGAGCCTGTGCATGCCACCTCAGCTGGCACACAGGAGTACCATGACCCTTGTCTTCCTGAGCTGAGACCCCTCCAGCCTGCCGGCCCACCCAGGGGATGGTCCTTTCCATTCCCAAGGGGAGGGCCACGCTGCCTGAAATTTGTTTTTTCTCAGCAAAGTGACAAATTTTATTTTGCTCTTGATTCTTCAGTATATGCTGTGTTATGAGGGGGTTCCTGCTGCCCTTCCTAATGGAGTTTCTTACTGAGCATTTCTCCTTGACATTCCCATGCATCCTTTCTGGAGGAACCCTGAGAGCAGGAGTTCACCCTGTAAGACTTTCTTACATGCCCCTGATGGCTAAGGTCCTGATTATCCTTCAGGTGGCCATGCAGGGACAAGTCAGCACGCTTTGCAGTTCCCCCCTAGGCCATGAAGGCAGCTGCTCAGTAGTTCAGATTGGTGAAGTGTGCACAGCCATGACTGGGCTGGAGAGGGGGGATCCTGCTGGCTGATAGGGCCAGAACCTTCCTCTCTGGCCTTGGGACAGATGCTCAGGTTTATCTCATGGCCTCCCTAAGCCATGAGGTGACATCAGGACCATGCCATGAGGACCATGCCATGGAGAAATGAAGTGATGGGCATGCTGAGTCCCATTATTACTCTACACAGGCTAGGAAGGACCCACAGGTATGAAGACGGGGGGGTGAAGGTGGCCCAGCTTTCTGCTATACACACACACACACACACACACACCACATGCACACATAACTCTCCTGGAGCTAACTTAAATTTAAATCTGGAGGAACCCAAGTTTTCACATCTCCTTTATTAATTAGCCAGTAGCCTGAAGCCATGGGCCAGGGGAGTACAGAACTCGAAGCTGGTCTGGTGAACTCACATCCACCCTCTGACCTCATGAGTGCAAGCTCCCAGAAGGCCAGAATAGGGGAGGGCAGAGCAACACCTGGAGGGTGTGGATTATAGGCTGGTCGGGCACACGCACTCGGTTAACAGAGCACCCACAAGGAGAGCATTGTTTCTCCATGACTTCAGGTTTATTAGTGGATATGCACAAAGTCGTCCTAAGGTCAGCAGCATGCAACACACAGGTTACTCCTCGAGTACAGTAATCCTAAAGCTTTAGTTACTGCGTGGTAAGGCTTCTTAAGTCACAGTGTATTCTTCAAGGCCTGGGCCAAAAAAAGAGACTTCCAGACGAAAGGATGTCAGTTAACATTGATCTCTGATGAACTGAACCAGACGATGTGTCCCATGATCCACACACACGCTACACTGCTCATCGCAGGGGCACCTGGCTTGCCAAGGAGTTTGCGCTTACAGCTGGTGGCCTCAGAAAGGGCAGAGGTCAAGTTTTTAGGCCATGTGTGTGTGTGTGTGTGTGTGTGTGCAGACTTCAGAGAGGGAGAGATGCCCATGCCACTGTCCACATCCTGGCAGCAGCGGCAACATGTCCCACCCAGCGGGGAGCCCTGCGGTGCAGCAGCAGTGGGGAGGGCAGGTGCCAAGAAAGCTCACAGAGACTCAGGTGATGCAGAGAACAGGTGGGGACAGGAGAAGCAGGTGTTGGTCACTGGTCACTGGAAAACCCAGAAGATCTGAAGAACAGCTTGCCAAAATAAAAGTCCGAGTGGTAATATTCTCTAAATAAATATGGAGTTTTGCTGTTGTGACCATGAACCTTTATTTAACTCAGGAACATCTCCTTTCTAGGAAAATACAATCAGTCACATGTGCCCACACACAAGTCACAGCCTGGGAGCTGGACTTGCCTGCGCTCCTGGGGAAGCAGTGGCAGAGTCAGTCAGCTGTGGGGGTCCTTTGGGGACCGCAGAACTCCAGGTGTCCCACCCATGGGGGTGGAAGGGCACTACCCACTGCCACCGCCTGCAGCTGTGTCCCCAGTGCTCCCTTCACGGCCGCACGAGTGGGCACCCACGCTCACACTCTGCAGCTTCGGGGAGGAGCGACACACGCTACACCACACAGGGACCCACGAACGCCCTTTGTCAGTCACAGTGAATGAGAAAAGTTCCGAAGGTGGCAAAATACTTCCATGTTCTACAAAGCTTTGTTCCTGCGACTCTCCGTTGATAAAGACGTACCCCTTTTTTGGCAGTCCCCCCCCAACAAAAAACAAAAAAAAAACCCCAAATGGGTGGCGAGGGCATGTCCTTTGGGGAGCCAGTGTCCTTGGCTGGGCTGTGGGTCAGGGATTGGGGCTCTGTCCTGGCATCCAGCTCTGGGCAGGCAGGCCTGCCTCGCGTCCCTGGCTCCGTGGCAGAGGCTGGGTGGGCCTAGATGTACAGCGGGGTCTCCTGGCCCGTGAGGAGCCTGAACATGGCGGCAGGCATGGTCTTCATGTGAATCTGTCAACAGAGACAGGAGGCTGAGCTGGTCAGCCCCTACTGCCCACCTCCCCCCTTCCCTTTGGTGCCTTCGGTGAAAACGAGCAATAGATGCCCAAACCCCCGAGAGCCATTTGTTCCCAACGCCAGTCTCGAAGACAGAAAGAATGAGTCCTGGCAGACAGACTCGGTTCCCCAACCTTGTCTTTAAAGGGTTCTGCACACCACCAGGTGCTAATTTTCCTTTCTGCTCATTCTTACACGGCAGGGGTGCAGGGTCAGAACTTGGACTCACTGGTGACAGCAGCTTGGCCACTCGGCTGGGGACAGGCATCTTCCAGGAATCACGACGTGTGCACTGTGTCCCCAAGAGAGAAGGACACACACCCCTTCCCACGAAACCAAAGCTGGCTAAGGCGAGGGTTCTGGCGCTGGGATCTGGCTTGCTGAGGGGCAGGGAGCCTAGGCACCCCCCTCCTGGGGAATCACTTAGCACACGACCCTCAGTGGCCTGGCCCTCCTCTCTGCTCCAAACAGGCTGGGTCTACAGCGAGCAGGGCATGAGATTGTCCCCCAGGGAGACCAGCCCCATAGCCCCTCTTCAGGAGGAAGGCATGTCCCGGCTGGAAGCCATGGAAGCAAACTGAAGGGAGAGCTGCTGGTGCCCTTTCCCTCCGTCAGGTTGCTACTGAGGCACTGTCCACCAGGACTGTGCTGTGTTCAGGCGCTGGGCTTGGCCCTTCCGCTGGGCCGTGGCTCAAGGAGATCTGGCTAGCGCTGGCCTTTGACCTGTTCCTGCTTCCCATGCCCATTGGCCCCTCGGCCTGTCCATCCCCAGACAAGGGGGCCTTGGTTCCAGTCTGACCAACCCAGACAGGTCAACACTGCAGTGTAGTCCTGCCCTGTCAGGATTCGTTCCATCCATTCAGACATGTGCACCTCTGTCACCTGGGACAGCCTTTTCCATCAAAAGATTTCTCCGTCATTCCTCAGTCTGAAACCCATTCCCAAGGCTCATCTCAACTTAGGACTTGTGTATCAGTGACTCATTTTCCAAATGCGCTCGGGGTGATGGAAAATGCAGGCTGACACTAATCTCCCCGCTGCCGGCAGGTCTGTGGCCCGGCGCTGACAGGATTCTAACACCCTCACGGCCTGCAGGCCTGCCTCCTCGGGGATCAATTCATCTCAGGTCTGAGGAGCTGGAGTCACTGCCAGGGCTCCCAGCCCGGCCTCCCACCAGACTGATTTCTCTGGAGGTGTGAACCTGATCGCTCCTGTGGGGGCCGCCATTTCCGAGCTTCCACTTAGGAAAATTGGATTTTCCTTTCTTGGAAGCCATTTGTCAGAGGAAGCTAATAGCACCTCCCCGGACACTTCCTCCTGAGAGTCAGCCGTTGCCACCACCAGTCCCGGGCAAGATGGGCCTTCTCCCCGATCCCTGGCAGTTTTCCAAAATGCCAGCATCGCAGTGCGGTCCGGTCCGAGACCTGGAGCCTCTCTTCGGAAGCCGCACCCGCCCACCCCACGGACAGGGCAGATGGAGGCCGGGTCTTCTTCCCCACATGGCCACCAGGGGGCGTGCTGCACACAGACCCTCACCGCCCCACCCCCCGCCACTCACAGAGCCGCACGATTCCCACACTCCTACACTCAGACCCACGGCGCTGTCCACACACGCACCCACATTCACACCCACTCACATACACACACACATTCACACCCTCATACCCTGCATGCGCCTGCCAGTCTTACCGCCCCCGCCGAGTCGGACAGAGCCTCATACACCTCATCCGCACTCACCCCCATGCTCACCCACATTCACTCCCTTCACCTGACCTCCCACGCACACGCACACACACACCACTCACACGAGGGAGGCCTCCTTCCCGTGCACTGCCTCACTGCCCCCGCGGGCCGCCCGCTCCTCACCCTGTCGCTATGCATTTGTCCTTGTGGACAGCCGCGCTCCCCCAGACCCTCAGCCACCTTCCTCCTGTCAGGAAAGCAACACCAGAAAGAGCTAGAGGAGGGGAGGCTACGAGATCCCAAAGCCTTGCCCTGGGCTGGGAGGCAGCAGGCAGGGCACAACCCCAGTGTGGGTGGCAGAGCCCCATTCCCGGGAGTAACCGGTTAGGCCTGCAGACAGTGGCCCCCGTTGGGATGCAAGGCTCCTGAAACAGCAGCCTGTAACCTCCTGTCTGCCAAGAGACGTCCACTTCCGCAGGGGCAGCCAATCACTGCCTGCCACTGTTCATTACCATAGGCTGGCCAGCTCAGCTGATGCCCAGTGGCTCCCGGAGAGGGGGTAAATGCAGAAGTCCAGGTGGGGAAAATATGAACCAGTAAATAGAGGTGGGTCTGAGGCCTGGCAGGGGCAGGATATCCTAAGAAGGGGGCGTTTCCCTGGCTGGGCCCAGGGGCCTCCCCAAGCCTGTCAGATTCCAGACCAGGTCTGATGCTAGTCATGGAGAAAGTGTGGGTTCTGGCCCCAAACATGTGAAAGGTGTGCACGGAAGCCTGGCAGGCTTACCTCTCCGACCGAGTTGGACAGAGCCTGGACGATCTTCTCGTGAGCCGTAGCCACCACACTCTGTCCGTTGATCTCGATGATGCGATGGCCAACACGGACGCCGCCCCGCTCAGCAATGCCCCCTCTCATGAGGCTGCAGATCTGAGCAGACACAGCTAGGTCAGCACACTCCCGTCACACCCACGGGCACCGCTCTGGGTCCCCAAGGACAGGAGCAGGGAAATGACGTGCAGAGGAAGAGCCCAACAGCGCAAATCCTTCTCCACGCAGTTCCTGAGCTCATGAACACACAGGCTTGTGGTTCAGACGATGATTTTTTAAAAAGCCAGGGCCATGGCATGTTGCGGGAACCATCCCAGCACCCAGACCGCCCAAGGTGGAATCCGAGTGTCCCCTGCCCAGCCATCCGCGAGTTGAGGTTCCTGGTGTGGGCAGCGTGTGGGTGGCCAGTGGTGTCACAAGGGCACACAGTCCGGACGGTTCTCCACCAGCTGCACCGCACTGAGAAGAGACCTCTTCAAGGACAGACAGTCCCGGGTCCCAGCTCCTGAGGAGGAGCGTGGTGAAAGCCTCATGAACTGACAAGCAGAGCTAGTTTGGGAGAGTGGCCGTGAAGCCTGTTAATCTGTCTCCTCTGGCTTGCAAAATTTTAAAACCAGGCATTAGAAAGGTGAGCATCCACCGGGACACCCGGGAGGGGAGAGCAGCCTGAGGGGGAGGGCTGTGGGCTCCTGGAGAAGAGGTGAGGGCCCCCAAAGATCCTGGTAAAGCCCCCCTGGCCCTGCAGAACCTGCGAAAGGCGCGGGAATGAGGGTGCCTTTCCCTGGTGGGAAAGAGGTGAAGACCCGGGCCCCTGCTGCTGTTCATGGTGCCACCTCCTCCTCTGCTTCCAAGGGCCTGGGCTAGGGTGCACTGGCTGAGCCAGGCAGAGTCCAGAAGATAGGCTGCAGCCTCCCTGGAGTGGAGGTGTCCTGACAGCAGCCAGGCTCACACCCAGAGGTCTCTGTCCCTGCTGCCCTGCCCAAGCTCAGACACCTCAGCCCGAAGGGTGAGCCCCAGAGCCCCTGCCACTCCAGGCAGCCCAGGGTAGGTGCCCACCCTGTGCCCAGCACTCTCTCACCACCACTGCCTAGGGCTGCACCCCGTCGGCTGTGTCTGAAGATGAAGAAGGTTGAGCCCAGGAACAGTGCTAGGGACACAGCCAGTAGCCTAGAGACCCTGCTCCCAGATGCTTTTCACACAGTCATCTAAAAGCCCCAGGCTTTTGTCCTTGGGATCTCCTCAGTGCGAAGACACTAACAGTCCACTACCATCTCACTGATGTTCTAAGGCATTTTTATCGGTCCTCACATTTGATGGCCTGGGGCTGAGCAAATGATTCTGGTTAGCACCCTAGAAGGTCAAAGGTCAGCTTGTGCTCATCCCTGAACTCTCCGTCGGTACCTGGCATGGCGTCTCTTTAGGGCTGACATAGGCTTAAAAGTGCACTGCCCACAGGCAGGCCCTGGTAGCTCCCATATGACTCCTGCCTGCCATTTATTCCGAGTTTCACCTGTTCCCAAATACACACAGGGATCCTGGAGTCGTTTATGTACCCCATACCTCCCAGCACTCAGGATCCCTCCCTCTCTGGAAGGAGACATTCTACCCTGGGCGGGGACACCGGTACAGGTTGATGTCACAGCACAAGATTTCTCCCACCTGGCCATCTGGACTCCTGAGGCAGGGTCTGCCTATCATCCCAGAGCCCAGGCTCTTGGGCCAGATGGGGAATCCTCCTGGGGCTTGAACTGATGGGCAAGGAAAGGGAGCAGGAGGTGCTGGGGGCGGGGGGCACACATGCGTACAAGACAGCAGCCTTGAAAAGCAAGCCATGCCCTGCAGGGACCAGGACCATGGCACGTCTAAACTTCACAATGTGCACTTTTGGGGAGGAGGCTTGGTGTCCCCAAGATGGAGAGTTATTGATTTCTTGGAAGATATTGTGAGAAGAGAGAGGTGGGATCCATTTGGAAACAGCATTCATTAAGTCCTCCCAGGCCTGTCTGCAAACGAATGCAGTGCACTTTAAATGTAATGAAGCTGAAAATGAGAAAGGCACTTACACAAAACTGGCTCCAATGTGGGCCCAGTTCTGCAGGAGACTCGGGGGACCCGCTCTGTGGTGCAGAGCAGTGTGTGGGTACCGTGGTCCTGCAGGCTCAGCGGGAGGAGAGACTGGCTGGCTGGCTGGCCAGGACCAAAGCTGGAACCAGTGATCTTCTATGCACTTCTGGGGCTCGGTTACTGAAATCCCAGGCACTAGAGACGAAACACTGGTCCACACGTGTGCCCACCAGTGTCACCCTAACACCATGCCAAGGGCCAGGAGGGCTGTCCTTTTCATCCTCACTCTGCCACTCTTCGGCTGGGAGACCTGGGACAAGTCACTTCACCTGTCTGTCCCTAGGTCCTCATCTGTGAAGCGTGACGGTTAATGCCACTCTCGAACTGAACCGCCCTCCCAGACGCCTCACAGGGACCCTGTGACCTGTGGGCAGAGCTTGCTGGGGTGTGGTGGATTTCCGGAACCAAGCCCAGAGAGAGCCAGAGGAGAGGGACTGTGAGCACTGTGACAGGCTGGAAAACAGACGCCTCAGCATCTGTGTGTGAGGCAGTACTGCTCCTGAAGGGATGGGCGGATGGAGAGAGGGAGGGCCAGGGAGGAGGGAGGGATGGATGGGCGGATAAAGCCATCATCCATGCAGTGGAATTTTATCCAGTCTACAAAGAAAGGAAGGGAACCCTGACACGTGCTACAGTGTGGATGAACCCTGAGGACATTATGCCGAGTAGAACAAGCCAGTTGCAAAAGGACAGATGCTATTTGATTCCACTTATATGAGGCACCCAGAGTTAGCCAAATTCATAGAAAAAAGTAGCTGGCTTCCGGAGCTACTGCTTTATGGAGGGCGCCAGGGCTAGGGCGGGGAATGGCAGGCACATTCCCAGCATTTAGTGGGGACAGTCTCAGTTTTGCCAGATGAAGGCGTTCTAGAGACTGGCTGCACTTACTACCTCTCTGCTGTACACGCAAAATGGTTAAGATGGCGGATTTCAGGGTGTGTGTATTTTACCACAATTACGAAGAAAACAGAAACACAAGAAACAGGTGTTCTGGGAGAGCTGGGGACAAAAGAAAAGCGTGGATGGGGAGAGGCAGATTCTGCAGCTCAGACACATCCGGCCCAGTGTTCTGGAGCTGGGACAGCTAAGCCAGGGCCGGGGAGCCAAGGAGGTGGAAGTGTGCCCGCCCCGCACACCCGTGCACGCACACAGGCCCCTATGCGGATGCCCCCTCAGCCCCCTCATCCACACCCAGGCTTAACCTGGCCTAGCGCTGAGCACGTCGCTCACCTGCATGTTACGACCACCACCTGCCATAGGAAACATCTCTGCACCAATCGGCAGGAACCTGCAGCCGCTCTGGGCAGCAACTGGCAAATGCCATTTCCGAGCTGCGGCCCTCCACAGTCACACACGGTCAGTGTGTGCAGGCTGACGGGCCGGACCCTGCTCACTGCCAGCCGCTCCCAGAACACAGTCCCCCTGGGCTGGCCCAGGCCAGCTGGAGGACGCATTCAGGCTGGGGACCTGGCCGGGGTAGGAGGGGACCTGCGGGAGTGTGACAGGATGGGTGCAGGGCCAGTGAGCCCAGGGGTGCATGGTGACAGGCCAGGCCCCGCCAACGGGGCTGGGAGGGGTGGGAAGTGAGGCCACAGCCCTCGTGACCCTGCCCCCATCCTGCCAATGCCGAGGGGCGAGGGACTTGGACTCGAGTAGCAGCAGCCCCAGGTCTCCTTCATGTTTCCTTCAACTCCCTCTTCCCTTGAGGCCCCAGTAAGTGGCAGAGCCCAGGGTGGCATCAGACCTGGCAAACGACAGGACATGCCTGGGGCAGGGGACAGGCCTGGGCTGCGGGGGCAGGGGCAGCACGGCGTCTCTGAGGGCCCAGAGTGCTGAGCCTGGACATCCAAGGACTGAGCAGAGGACAGGTTCAGCACTTGGTGACCCGGACACCCTGGCGCTGAGGCCAGACCCCCTCCCCTGGCTGCCCCCCGAACCTGCTCCCTGCACCCGGGATTGTCACAGGATCACCTGCCTCTCGTTGGCTCACCCTCATTTGGTCCCTACGAGGCACAGAGCAGAGCTCCCATTCCCTGTCTGCTCCCCTCCTCCCTTGCTGTGCTGCTACAATACCCTGGCTCTGTGCACCCTAAACCTGGCTTGTGAATAACCTCTCACGTGCTGTCTTTCCAGAATGATCCAGAATGGTCTCCCAGTGCCTTTTCCCCACACTGTTGGCAGCACACGCCCTCTCTCCTCTCCCCTGGACACCGTGTCCTCATTACAATCTCTCTCCTCCTCAGCTCTTCACTACTCAGGGCAGGTTTGACCAAGCAGGCATAACTGACCCCTTCTGTGCTCATTCAGTGGCCCCATTCTGTCTTCTGAGATCTTTGCTGGAGCAAACACCAAGGAAGGGAACTCACTCCAGCCAAACTGAATGGAGAATCAGGGCCGGAGATTTAGCTCAGTGGTTTTGCTGCCTGCTACGCAAGCGCAAGGACCCGAGCTTGATCCCCGGTACCAAAAAAAAAAAAAAAAGGATTTAGCTCAGTGGTTCCAGCGCCTGCCTTGCAAGCACGCAAGGTCCCAAGTTCGATCCCCAGTACAAAAAAAAAAAAAACCAGAGAATGGAGAATCAGGCACAGATTCAGGGGCTAGACCAACACTTACTAGAACCCAGCCCCACCTCCCCCAGGACCCCTCCTGCCCCTTGGTGTCTCGCCCAGAGCCTGACATAGGACAATATTTCACAAATGGTTGCTGAATAGGTGAATGAATGAGTGAGTGAACAAGAATCTGTACAGCACAGTGAGTCTAATGCCACCACTGGCTGTGTGTATCCAAGCCACCATAATTCAAAGCCTGCTTTCCTCCCTTCCAAAGCAGGCATTTGCCAAAGACAGCCTTCACTGGGACATGGGTCCTAGGGGGACTGGAGGGCCCCTTCTGCGGCCACACCTAGGCCTCCTTTTCTACCTGGCCAGCACCAGGACCTGTCCTCGGAGCTGCAGAAAGCTCCTGCTCGCATGGCCTAGCTGCTGGCACTGCTGCCTCATGAGACAGGCGCTCCTACTGCCCCACTCCCCTCCAGTACCCAGACCTGACACGCGCTACAGCCAGCCTAGGGGAGGGAGGGTGGACTCACGATTCCGTTCTGCACACTGAAGCCCAGCTGGTACTTGAGGTCGGGTCGCTTGATGAGGACTGTGGTGACAGGGGGACAGCTGACGATGTTGAGCTTCACCTGAGTCTGGTTCTTCAGGCCCTGCAGAGCACAGAGCAGGAGTCACGGCCGGGCGTGGACACCATCTGTGCGCACCTGACGAGCATCACCCTGGCCCCTGTGAGGGTGGCTGGGGACAGTGCTCTGTGGCCCACCGTGCTTGGATACACTTTGTTATCTGGGCAGAAATGAGCCACTCGGGAACCAGAAGCCAGGTTCTGAGAGCCACTGAGTGGAACCAACGGGCTGAGCACCAGGGTCATGCTCAGGGGTCATGGGTGGGACGGGACTGTCGCCATGACCAAGGAAAAGACTGTGGGGAGACCTTGGTCAAAACCAGATGCACTGAGGATGCTGGAGGCTCTGGGGCTGCATCAAGGCTGAAGCCCAGGGTCACCTCAGGCCCCAGAGAGGACGCAGCCATCAGTGAGTACCCAGGCTGCAATTCTGGGGCCAAGAATGTCCCAGGGCAGGGGAAGGGGCCAAATCCTTGCTAGGTTGCAGCTCCAGCTTGCCTGGAGCTTGCCACACACAGAGCCCAGAGAGCTGCAGCCCCCAAGGCCACCCAGGGCCTTTCTATGCTACCCCCATCCAACAGAGAGTCTACTGGGCCTACCCAAAAGCCTGTTCTTGGGATGTTCTGGCCCTGGGATCACCCTTCATCTCTTGGATAAAAGAGGGAAGTGGAGGGGCCTCCTCCAGCACCACAACCCCAGTAAGATGGGGACAGCCATGGAGTGAGATCATGGATGTGTCACAGGGGCTGCTGCCAACAGGCAATGGTCTGCAGAACCCTGACCCCAGCTGCTCGCATCCTCTCTGCCGCTCAGCGCTGCCTCAAGCTGCAAGCTCACAACTAGTGGATCAGAATATCCTTCTTTCCCTGTGGCTGCCAACTCCTAGCACTCAGCTGTGTAGGGCGACCCCTGGCCCAGGCTGCCATGACAAGGGCTTCCTAAAAGTGGGACTTTCAGTGTCATCTGTGGCAAACTGGGTCATCCTACACGCACATCCTCAGCCCCTTGCCCGGGGTGGATGTGGCCCAGTGCTTGGCTAAGAGAGATGCAACCTCCCCTTACGTCCTTCCCAGGCAGCCTGGGATTTCAGGCACGGTATATATAGTCTTGGCTTCAAGTTTTGACTGTCCCTGGGCTTCAGTGTCCGCATAGGTCAGGTGAGACCACTGGGCGGGGGGTCCCGGGCACCCACCTTGATGACACCCTGGCAGGTGGCCAGGGGCAGCCCCACGAGGCTGGTGCCGTTGATGGACATGATCTGGTCCCCGATGCTCAGCTTCCCCGAGCGGGCTGCTGGCCCACCGTTCATCATGTTTGCCAGAATCACGGTGGGCAGGATGGAGCCCCAGCCGGACTCCACGACCACCACGCCCAGAATCTCACCCTTGTGCTTCTCCAGCTGCAGCTGCAAGGGAATTTATAGTGGGCGAGGATGAGCCGACCCCAGCCTGCCACATGGCTCTACCCTGGGACTCAGGGCCAGTTCATCTCAGCCAGGAGGGGCCGTGGCTGGAGGGGCCGGCCTACTCTGGTTCCAGGGCCCCCAGAGGCCCACCGGAAGTCCAGTAAACCTGGCAGCAGTGTCCCTCTCCTCCCATGCCCAGCAAGGAATCCCCCAGCCCCAAGTATGGCTCCGGGATCCTGGCTCCCGCTCCTTACCTACCAAACCCGGAGGCCAGAAAGACATGCACAGACTCCAGTGCCCAGCCCGACTTAGCCTTTGCTCCCATCTGGAAGACCCTATATGCTCTCTGTCTCAAGGATGGCTCTCAGAAACTGCCTGTGGTGCACTCGGGATTACTCATTCAATAAGCAGCCAGGGGCATTCATTCAAGAAATATTCAGCACCATTCATTCAACAAGCATCCAGGATCATTCATTCACTCACTGACAGGTAGACAGGCTCATTTATTCAAGGTATGGGCCACATCCAGGAAGAAGTTGCTACTGGTATCTTCACAACTGCCCTGCCTGAGGACCCAAGTGTCCTGTCTTAAAGATGCCACCCACACGCTTTTCACAAATATCTCCTGGATGCTGTGTACCAGCTGATGGTAATAGCAGCCTTAAAAAGCACATTTTCAAGGTCATTAAGACTGATTGTAATCAGCTTCTTTGTTAGAATCGTCTCATTTCACACACAAGTGCTCAGCTCCGAGGCAGGAGCCAGACCTCCCCCGCAGGCAGCCGGAGTCTGATGCAAAGGCAGCAGGGCATGTGAGGACCAGGAAAGTCGTGCCCTCCTCCCAGCCCTGCGAGCTGACCCGGGACTCACGGGCACTGCCAGGACCAGCCCACTCTGAGGCAGCCTGGCTGCACTCTGCAGCTCAGCTCGGGGAGCCGGATCCAGCAGAAGGGCCTTCCCGGGCCCTGCCAGCCTTGCCTCACCTCCTTGCAGTTCTCCGAGTTGGAGAAGTGGATGAGGTCGTCGTTGTACATCTCCTGGGTGTTGATGATGTCGCTGTACTCCTTCTGGCTCAGGTCTTCGGGGTTGATGCCGTTGGCCCTCAGAAACTCCTGGTAGGCCACACTGAAGGCCTGCCCGATGGACTGGGCGATGAGCTGGGCCTGGGGGCGAGAGCGGGTGCAGATACAGGCCCCGAGGCCCAGCCCCACACAAGGGGCCCAGAAGCCCCCAGCGAGCCCTGCTTGGGCTTAAAGGAATGAGACGGTAACTCTGGCCCTGGCCAGTGAAAGGCATCTTTGGCCAATGTCCTGCCCAGGGCCACGGGTGACCCTTCCTGCCACCTGCCCATGACCCAGTCTTGACTATGCCTCTCTGGGCTGTTTTATGTCCCAGACATTCCAGGGCAAAGAATGGCTTCAAATAGAGTCAAGGAAGATGATGAATTTTTTGCTAAATGTCATATTTTATTGCTTTAAATGGGAGGTGTACTGTATTTTCATTTTCTCCATCTTATTCCAAAAGCTAGATTTAAGGTGTTTCCCGGGCCTGTCACAGCAGCTGTCTGTTCCACATCTGTTTCTCTTGAGCTACAGGAGGCCACGCCGACTGGATCCCTCTCCAGGGAGGGGTGTGCCTGAGCCCTGGGACCAGCACAGACCCTGTGGAGCAGATCACTTCTTTCCGTTTCATCTGGCCCGCTCCTCCGGATGCAGACACTCACGTGGCATAGGCCTGGACACCGAGACATCAAGCAGGGCCTTGCCTGCCACCGTGGGGCGCAACGGGGGACACTGAGAGGCCAAGGCTGAAGGCCGGAGCTCCTGGTCCACACTGAGCATGCTCGCTGTGTGGACGAGCCCTAGGGCTTTTGGTGGCACCTCAGGGCGCAGCAGTGCTTCTCCCCAGCCCAAACCCGGGCAAGCCCCAGCTCAGTCTGCCCTGTGCTCCCCGGAGCCCCACCTGCCCTCCAGGGGCCACGGCACAGCAAGCTTTGGCACAACAGGACCCAAAAGAGGTAAAAAGGGAGGTTTGGCCTGTGATCCCTTCTCATGCTGCATAACATATGCTTTAAGTGCAAGAAGTAAGCTGCACAGGTAAAAGAGCTTCCCGCCAGACCACAGGACACGAAGGCTTTCCTTAAACAGGTGCCAATTCTAGGTCAAACTGCCCGCCAACACTAGGCCCTCAGTGTCCACCGGAAGGGCGCAGCACCTGGATGGCTGTTCCAGGCCAGCACGCAGACGGCGGGCGAGCTGGCTGCCTGGGTACCACCAGGTGGCGCCACAGGCCTGGACAGGAGCAGAGCCAGCACCAGGAGCAGGTGGGGGTCTGTGCTGAGATGGGAGGTGGGGGTGGCTCAGGGAGGGAGGGGCCCTCGGAGTGGCCCAGGGCTGCCCTGCCCCAGCTGGGATCTCAGTGCACAGAGCTCCCCACTCCTCCCCATTCTGTCCCCACCCGAAGGAGTGACCTGGATGGGAAGGGGAGCCTGACAAGATCACATCCCTTCGTTATTAGCTGCTCCGAATGGCCACTGCTCTGGCACCCACACTTCTAGCCCCTCTCCTTGGGCCACATGGTCCCCTCTGCCCACCCGGTGGGTGCTCTGGAGGAGATCCCCTGGGGATGTGCACCACCGCCCTCGGGCACAAGCCAGGGGAAGCCCCATGTCTTGAGGGCTGTCCTGTCTCCTGTCTCCCTCACCCTGTGTTGGGCTTCCTCCTACCTGGGCAGAGGCCGGTGCTGAGGGCCCCTCTGTGCCCCCGCTCCAGCCCAGGCTCACAGCCAGGCCTCTGTGTCACTGCTTCGAGGCTGGGAGCCACTCAGGGCGGGGCTGGGCACCAGCATGCTGGCCCCGAGGCCAGGGCATCTTCTAGAGGACGGGAGGGGAAGCCATCATGCCTGCACTGCTGTGCCCCGGCACATTCACCAATGCAGCCTCCTCCACCCTGGCCCAGCCCTAGGGTGGCTGAGCTCCATTTTAAAGAGCAGAAATGGGACTCGGTGGCCATCCTGGCTGGTGCCCCTCCACAGCCTCCCCCTGGGCCCTCACAGTGTATCCAGGCAGACCCTCCTCTCTTTCCTTCAAGAGCCACTTGGAGGCCACTCCCACACCCATCACTGGGCCATGGGCCTTGTCACCTGCTGAGCTGAGACAATCATGGCCGAGGTGGACAGTGGCAGCTGCGGGCTGTAACTCCCCAGAGCTACCCACACGGGCTGTGCCCCACAGGCTGTCCCTGGTCCCTGCTCCTTCTCAGCCCTGCTATTGGCCAGCTTCTCCCTCCCACTGCCCATCACCTGAGCACCTCAGACTCAGAGGCATCCCGAGGCCCCCAGTCATTTGAAAACATCCGTCAGGTGTGCACATGTCTGTGGGTCATGATGGGAGGTACAGGTCGATGCGTTAGAGGGTCTGCATGTAAATAATGTCCTCTCCTATAAATCTGCTATTGCTTCAAAGCATCTCCAGGTGACAGTTTCTTAGGAAAAAGATGATTGCCCCCACCTACAAGTTTGAAACCTGTCTTCAAACATAGTTTCTACACCTTATTTCATAACCACGAAAATAATGGGGCCCTTCTCTGTGATCCAGGTCCTGGCGACACTAGGACAGCAGTCCTCATGTGAACAAGAATGCTCCAGCCTCCTGGGCAGTTGCTGTGGCTACCAGGGTGGCTTCTGACAAAAGCTAGACTTGAGCTGTCTTCACCGGAGAGTGGAGGAAGCTTTCAAAGCCCACACTGCCAACAGCCACGAGACTGGCTCAGCACGGCCTCCCTGCCGGGATGAGCCTGCAGGAGAACCCATCAGGGGTCTGGGATCCACCTTCTGCATTCACTCTTTATCTTTTAAAAGGTGGACCCTGCTATGCTGACCACGTGGCTCCAAACTGCACAAGGCACAAGCAATGACCCTTCTGCCTCAGCCTCCAGAGTAGCTGGAAAACAGGCATGTGCCACTCCGTGGTCTCTCAGTGAATCTATAGCACTTCAAACCTCAACTTTTTTGGCAGTACTGGGGGTTAAAGCCAAAGCCTTTGTATTGAGCTACGTCCCCACACCCCTAGCCCTTTTATATTCTGAGACAGGGTCTCAATAAGTCACTCATTTGCCCAGGCTGTGCTGGAACGTGAGATCCTCTTGCTTCAGCTTCCCAGAGTTCTGGGATTATACCTGTGTGCCACCATGCCTGGCTGCAAAAGTATTTTTTGAAGTGACACCAAAATTGGTCATGAAGTGAAATGACATGTGCAAAGGCAGGGCTCAACTCAGAGGTTTCTGTGTCTCTCTTCATGCAACCCTGGCAGGTGAAAAGATGCATTTTAACAACAGAAAAGTAAGGCCAAAATTAGGTTTATTTTAAAGAGGGAAAAGTTTTATAAAATGATTTCTGCTAACAGATAGCTCCCCTTGTATATTTATCTATTGCTCAACTTATAAGCAGCTCCTGCGGTGAGGAACCTATCCCATGAAGTGAAATAAAACTATGTTCGCTATCTTCAGAAACCCAAAGAGAGTGCGACAAATCTCTGGTGCCCCTGGAAACACAAGGCCTCCGCTGCCAGGAGATGTGCCTGGCACTGTGCCCGCCAGCGTTACTTACGTCCTCCGACTCGAACACATGGCAGATCATCTTGTACTGCTTCTTCCCCTCCTGGGCCCCGGGTGTGGTCTCGATGCAGTCTTGGGAGGCCGACCGGGGCATGCGGCGTCTGGCCATCAGCACCACGATGTTCCCGATATCCGCGATGTAAGAAATGGTACGCAAGGCGTGGTCCATCATGGTTTCCTGTTGGGAGAGGGAGATCAGGCCACTCAGGGAACATTATAAGGCCATGCCGTGAAGTCACGCCAAGTTGGCCCTACTGACATCTGGAATGAGGTCGATGCTTACTGCAGAGGGCGGTTCTGACCCGGGACAAGGTCAGCAGCATGCCTGGCCTCTACCCTTAGATGCCAGTGGCAACTTCCCTCCCAAGGGAGGAAACCAGAAATATCTCCAGCTATTGCCAAGTGTCCCAGAGGTAGGGGGCAAGGCTGTCCTGGCTGAGAACCAAAGCTTGGTTAACAGAGCATTTTAAGGTGGTAATTCATGGTCAAAGGGGTCAACTTTTGGCTCTGCCTACACTTGGGGAGGCTGAGGCTGGTGTGTGGCTCTCCATGTCTGCTGGAGGAGAGCAGGGAGCCTGCCCTGTGGCAATGCCTGTCCCCTCCCCGATTAGAGGCCATTGATGGCTCTGGAGAAGGGGCCTTTCCTGCAAGGTCTGTGTTCTCCTGTAGGCTCAATGGTGCCTGGTCAAATTCCTGTTCTGCAGAGAAGGAAGGCATCTAGGTCAACATTTGCCACCAGATGAATTCTTCCCGGGCCCGATCCAGGAGACACTGAAAGAGTAAATCTGCTTCTGAGCAATGGGTCTCCCCAGGCAACTTCAATTCCCTGGCTCCCAGCAGGTCCATTACTCTTGAAAGTTTTTGTTGTCTGACAGAAATCTTCACCGAACATCTCGCCCATTACCCCTTTCTAACAAGGCTGCACACAAAGGCTCCACAAAACTAATCAGTTGGTGTTTTGTGCCTTTGTTCTCCTGTCACAAAAGGAAATCAGTTGTTTCTGTGACCTCTGGCGTCCTCTTTTTTCTTCATAGAATCCGTGCCTTGCAGCAGATATCGCACATATTTGTCTAGGAGGGCGACTTGTTTACTGGCCAAAGCTATGAGAGTAGTTCACAACCACAAGACTCAAAGGAGGAGCACTGGAAAAGGGAAGAGTGCAGGTAGCTCTTCAGCTCCTGATTTCTAGCCCAGTCCAGTTCGTAGGTCCCAATTTATGTCAATGGCAGAGTCCTTCTCATTGGCAGAGGCCAGCTTCCAACATGGCGGCCATCATTTCTCCTGCCCAGCTGGCCACCTCAGCCTCCACAGTCTCTCTCTCCTATTCCCACCTCTCCAGCTCCACTGCCAACATTTTTATTTTTCAGTCAAACTAATTTCCTGTTGTAACCTTTCTTCCAGTTCATTCTAAATGGCGATGTGGAGCAAGCTCACAAACTACTGATGGTCCATCCACCCACACCTGGGTGGTGGCACCCTCACAGGAAAATCAGCAAGAAGATGGGTTGCAGGGAACGGTTACTGTCCCAGGCCAGGCAGCCATCCTGAGGAAGCTCTGCCTTTGAAGTCTTCTCTCAGCTGGTGACTGGGAAGCTGGATTTCAGGAGGGCTGCCACCGTCTAACTGGTAAGTGTGGCTCACTCTGTCTGAATTGTCTGTACCAATGACATGGCCCAAGATGATCATTTCTTTCTTCCTGGGAGCCTGGAACTGTGCTACATGCCAGGCAGAAGGTACCTGGGTAACAGATCCCTGGTAAAGACCTTTGGTGCTGAGTCTCCATGTGGCTCCTGATGAAGAACTCTTCACACATGTTGTCACACTTGTTGGTAAGAGAATTCAGCACATCCCACGTGACTTCACAGACAGAGGACTCTGAAAACTATCAGCTTTGTCTTTAACTTTGCCCATGCACCTTCCCTTTGCTGACTCTTACACTTTGGATCTGGAGTCTTTCCCAAATGCCCACGTGTTGAAAGGTTGGTCTCCAGCCCATGGCACTATTGGGAGGTAACTTTAAGAACTGGGGCCTGGTGGAAGGCAATTAGGTCATTGGGGCTCGCTCTTGAAGGGGATATCGAGAACCCCAGCCCTTTCCTCTTTCTCCCTGACCCCTGACTATCATGAGGTGAACAGCTTCTTCTCCCTTGTGCTCCCATGAAGCAACAGGGCCAAATGACCATGAACTAAAACCTCTGAAATTGTGAGCCAAAATAAATCCTTCATCCCTGTAAATTAACTTCAAGTATTTTGTTACAGTGACGGAAAGCTGGTTAATATGCTGATATTGCTCTGTAGTCACAGGATGGAATACACCTTAGCTATGAGGAAAGCAACATGCTAAGTCCTTGAGATCTCCTAGGGAATCACTGAATGTGGGTAGAAGAAGGATGTAGAACAGAAGGGTAGCAGGGAGTACCAGCCAAGACAGTTTCCCAAGACAAGATGAGAAAACTAAGTCCAAGTCAGAAGCATCACAAGTTGGATGCTGAACCCCTGTTAGAAGTCGAAGGTGCTCCCCAAGTTTTCACCAAGGGCAAGGCTCCAGGAGAGGTGGCTGGGGCCACACAAAGACCAGTGGAACAAGGCTCAGGCTCAAACATGGAGAACAGACATGTGACATGGACAAGGAGTCACAGTGTCGGCCTCAGGAAGTACTGAGGGCCTTGGTAGGTGGGCAGGCAACAAGGCACTGGGGTGGGAAGTGGGCCATGGCATAACCACACTATGGAGTTGGCCCCGTTGCATCCTCTGCCCTCGAAGGTTAGGCTTCTTCATGAATAGGGAAGCAAGGGAGGAGCTCAGTACTCCCAGCAGTTCTCATCCACTCCAGGCCCACTGAGCCTGGAGGAGGTGACACCCAGCTCACCTGCCATCTGCTGAGCTTTCCCTTGCTTGCCCCACGGCCTGGTAACATGGGCCGTGTGTAGACAGCAGGAGAGTACTATAGTTTGGATCCAAAATGTGGATTGCAGGCTTGGTCCCTATCCCATGGCACTATTGGACTGAATCTGGAAGAAGTGAGGCCTAGCAAAGGGGAGATCAGCATCTGGCCTATCCCTCCCCCTCTCTTTGCTTCTCAGCCCTGAGGCGAGCATCATCCTCCACCCTAATGTGCTGTGACAGGCCTTCTGACAAGTAGGCCAACTTACCATGGACTCAAACCTCCAGAACCGAGCTGACATAAACCTTTCCTCTTTTCAAGTTGATGATCTCAATTTAAGAGTTATTTTATTGCAGTAATGGAAAGCTGACTAACACAGACAGTGACAGAGAAAGATACCTTAAGCTTGGGAACCTGGACTATTTGGTGGAATGAGGCTGTGTGTGGAATTGGGATGGTGAAGAGAACTCTCCGGTGCGAGTAGGAGGCACAAGTGTGAATGCATGGCCTTTGATACCGCCTCCCTCTGTCAGCTGTCAGGGCCCAGGAGCAAAGACACCCCCAGAACCATGAGCCCATCCAGCACCCAGCTCTCTGTTTCTTCATCACTGCCCCCTCAGAGGGACCCATGGTCCCTTGAAGAAATGGCTGATTCCACATCTCAGGCAGGGAACATACCTTATCTTCTCAGGAGGTTACCAAAATGATAACATAAGTTTGGAGAGAGACAGGGAGAGACAGAGACACGGGGGGTGGGGGTGGGGATTCCAAAGTCCACAGTGAAGAAGAGGGAGGGGAACAAAAGCAGAAAGCACTTTCACAGAAGAATGTCACATACTAAAAATACTAAGTGTGGTATCCTTAGAAAATCAACACCTGGCACTTGAAAAATTGTAAGCAGTCAGGGCAAGACCATCAGTGGCTGGTAAAAGCATTGAGTTGTGAGGATCTGGGTATCCATCAGGTCCAGAGTGTCACTGGCAGATTCCGTGTCAAAGAAAAGAAGGTGCCTTTACCCTGGGCGTCAGGCCACTCTTACCTGGGTCAAGCTGAGCGAGCCCCTTCCCTCTTTCTTCCTGAGTCCTTGCATACCAAATCCCCGCCAGGAAGCACAGCCTCGGGCCTTTCCCCACCCTGGCATCTACTCGGCAACCCCAGCCTCCCACCTTCTCACGGCTCATCTCAGCTCGGCAGTCCTTTATATTTCACGCAGCACGGTCACTTTTTGCTCATTCATTTGTTTCACTGTTTTGCCTACCAAAGGTAAGTTCTGTGGGGTGACTGAGGCCCAGGAAAAAAAGCAGAATCTCCATCAGGCACAGGCTGCCACCACAGGAGGCAAATGCATCACAGAGGAAAGTCTGCAGAGCCCCTGCATGCGCCAAGCCACAGGCCATCCTGAGTCCTGCCTCCAGCTGGCTTTGCAGGCTGAGCATGAGGGCCCTTCAGGAAGGCCCTTCCAGAATCCTGATTGGCAGAGCACACGCTTTCCAACTGGCCTCTCACTACCCCCCCCCCCCCCCGCACCGCGCCATCCCTCTGTAATCCCAGCTAAACTGTATCAGAATGGCCCGGCTGGCTTTAAGCCTTCCGCTTGGCCCCCTGCAGCTTGCTCTACTTTCCACAGCCACAATTCACTTAAGGAAGGCCCAGGCTGCAGAATCGCTGCCCTTGGAGACACGGTTCCCTCCCGGACTTGGGAAAACACTTCTGCAGCTAGACTGTGTTCTCCAGGGTTCCAAGGTGCAACCCCAGACAGCTGTCCTTTGGGCACTCACCTGTGTGTCTGCATTTAAAACTTTGATCCTCTGCGTGGAGATGAAGAGGTCCACTTCTGTCAGGGTCTGGGTGTCCCCCTCGGAGTTCTAAGGAAGGACAGGAGATGCAGTTACAAATCGAAATATGCACTCCAACCAAAGCCTGGCGGTTTTCCCAATTACCCTGAGGCGGTGTGGAAGGAAATGCTACTTCCGAGTGGAGCAGCCGCTGGAAATCTACAAGCCTGGCTTAGAATCCAGAGCTGCATGTGCGTCCCCAGGACAGAGTGTAAAAGGCACAGAGGAGAGGGAAGCGAGGTGTTTCTGGGAGGCGTGAACAGCAAGGGAGCAGCTGCCCGGGGTCTTGTGCTGGAGCCCCTCCTCTCTGTAGCAAGCTGGGCCCCTCTGCCAGCCCCTGTGGAATTCAGTGAAGGCGCAGCACCATTAGATTAAAAGCTCTGTTTCGTAGATAGGGAATTCCAAGTATCCCCGGGGAAAACTTTTTCGTGGAAGCTGAATTAAAACGTCAGCCCTTCCGTTCAGGTCTGAACAGTCACAACGGTGTGGATCCCCTTGGTCTTGCCATCCATAAGGACAGTGAGACTCAGGGTGGGCGCAGGTGCACCCTACAGTGACACCGAGAGGTGGACAGAAGCTGGCACACAAATGCCTCTGATTTGTTGCCTCCACCGGAGGAAGCTCCGTGTACAGCTGTGAGTTATGTTTTCATGCACTGTTTTGGAAGCTGAGCAAACTACTCAAGATCTGCCCCAAAGCAGGGCAGCCTTTAATTGGTTTTTACACCTGTGAGAATCCTAATTACTGCTGCCCAGTGGTGATGGGAAGCGGGCTCCACCGGCCTGCCCAGCGGGGTGGATAGTTCAGTGCGGTCATTTGGGAGCCTGCGGGGGTGCATCCTCCACTTCAAAACAGCAGAAACTGTGATTTAATTAACTCACTAGAAAATCTCAAATCCAACATCTCCCTGCTGACTATTTCTCAAGAATTCTGAGTCACAGAGAGGCCCTGTATTATAATGATAAATTTGTATTTTAGCTCAGTTTTCAAAGGAAAAGATCTTGTGGGCTTTTGGTGTTTCCCAGGACAATACTGCTTTTAACTAATCCGAAGAAGAATAGAGTCCTAAACAATCCATCTGAAAAATAGTGTTGAGGACTGTGGAGGAGATTTTTCTCTGTTTTAATAAATCAGGTCAAAAGAACCACTAATAGACTTTTAAAAGTTTTGTTCTGGGGATTGTAGATCTAAACCCCCTTGCTCCAAAGTGGGTCAAAGCCAGAAGCAAGTCAGGAAAGTGGTGGGCGGATTCGGGTGTCAGTGATGAGATGGGGAGACGTGTCTTGCTTGTACAGGGAAGAGGCCAGGTTCGGGGTGGGGGTGGGAGTCAACGGATGGTGCCAAAACCTGGACAATAACAGGGAAGGGGAGGGCACCCACACTGCACCCTGGTGGATGGAGGGAGGGGACCAACCTCCCAGATCCTACAGAAGGACGCCAGAGAGTAAGGGTGGCCTTGCTGTGTCAGTGGTGGGGCTCAGCCATCAGCATTTGCCTGGCCAGCTCTGGGCAAGTGGTCCTGAACACGTCACTGCTCGGGAGGAAGAACCACTTGTCACCAAATGGCTCCTGGCCACTGAGGCCTTTCTCAGCTAGGTCTGCCTGTGCCCTGCCCCTCCACAGGACCTCTGATCCTGCAGCTTGCAGGAGCAAGCTAGGGCTCCCCTGCTCCAGCTGGGCTTGGGCCTGGACAGCCCAGGCAGGCACTGAGAGGCTGCGGGGGACAGCACACTGCAGCTGCAGGTCTGCAACTGCGGGCCATCCTGCTTTATCCAGAGGCTCCCAGAGGAACGGCAGGCAACAAACCAGTACCAAGTCTCCATGGACTCTCCCTGGTCTTTCCCACAACAAGCATTTTGACAACTTTTGTATGAGGAGGGCAGCTAAAAAATCACCAGTCGTCACCAAATGACCAGCTTGACAAAGGACTACACTTCCACCTAGTTGTTCTTCTTTTAAAGTCTGCTCAGGCTTCAAAAATTGCTGTCAACACAGGAAGCATCTCAGGGGCAAACTGAGCTACTTCCATCCCGATTTGGTAAATGAAACAATATATCTCAATGCCAGAACAGTGTCATTCACGCTGTACAGGAGGCCCTATGTACACTGGATAGATCACGTTGCCATCTAAAAATGTCCACATAAAACAGGAACCTTGCAGCATTAGCCATGCTTTGGAACATAGGAGAATCTAAAACAGAAAAATAAAAAAGAGCAACTATTAAACTCTTCTGTGAGTGGGCGGTCAAAAAAAGTGGTATCTGCAGTTTCATTCAAGTCTGGTATTCAGCTACCGAAGGAAGGGGGAAAGGGTTCTGTGGTAAATTATCTGGATCCCCGGGAAGCCCCCCACTGAACAGGGGAGACCACAGACACACAAGTGGACACCACCATTCCGGGACAATGGTCCTACACACCGCTTTTTTCTTGATTTTAGCAGCCTTTTGCATCCTCTGAGCAGCATGTAAGAGAAGAGAAAAGCAGGTGGGTGTGGGAAGAAAGGTGCAGCAAGGTTATTTCAGGCTTGGGCTCAACATCCCAGCACTCAGCCCTGGTGTCCAGCAGAAGTCCTCGGAGACAGGCGGACACCACTTCCTGTGTCCAGCACACGCACTGCTCCGACGCTGGGAATGACCGTCAGGCCTCCGTTCACAGGGCCGTGCTGGGCAGAGCACAGCAAGGAGCAGAGCAAGCCGCTCCGGCTCAGGGGCCAGAGGACCAGGTCTTTTGCTAAGGGGCACTGGCTGCAGGGCTCAGTAACCCTCCTCACTCAGTTTGCTTTCTCCTGGCCACCATGGATGGCCTCGTGCTGCTTCCCAGGCTCCATTAGAGGTCAGCATGGGGTGGGCAGAGGAGAGCCAGGATGAGGGCTGACTGCTCCCCCTACAGGCAGGCAGCATGTGCAGGCCCCACTCTTCCCAGAGGGGCACCGCCTCAGACTTTCCCATCCCTCCTGACCCCATCTGGTTTTCTGATGTGGCCTCCTCATTCCCAGTCCACCCTCACCTGCTGTTCCAAAGCTGACACTCCAACATGCACCTCGAGCTGCAAGCCTGTCTGAGGTTTCCTTGAGGTCATGCATTTAAATAAAACATGATTATTTTCCCTCTTTCTGGAAGTACTTTGAATGGTGCTAAAAATACACACATTGTTGAAATGGGATTTGTGGTGTCAAACAAACATGTTTTATAACTAGCATGGTTCAGAACAATTATCTGTGAAAAGCTGTGTTTCTGAGAGCCTGGGGGGACTGTCCCTTATTAGGCAGCTGGTGGTCTCTGAACCCAGCCTAGCATTTGCCCAGCTGGGGTGGAAATCTCCCTAGGCCTGGCTGGGCACCTTGACTATTCCCACTCCACACCAGGGCAGCACAGTCAGAGCTGGACAGGATGCCTCTGCCCCACTGCCGTGCTCCCCAAAGAAGACCACCCAAGCGGGCATCCCTGGGAGGCCCAGGAGCACCCCTACCTTGACCCTGCTGACGGCCTCCTGTGCCTGCATCATGCGGATGTTTTTGGAGGGGTTGCGTTCAGAGAGCAGCTGGGTGGACCCCAGGTAGTTGGCAGCAAAGATGATCCCATCGATGAGGTCTTCTGGCTCACAGGGCCCTGGAACTGAGGGGGCACAGAGTGAGGGTCTCCCCAGAGAGAACACCGTGGGCAAAGCACTCAAAAGCCTGGTCTTGGCATCAGGACCATGGCAGCCAGGACAGGCAAGTGAGAAGGGAGCCCCTGGAATCTGGGCCAACCAGGTGGCTGTTTCCTTCCTTACCCCATCGTGCCTGGTGAAGGTAACTGCACAGAACCAGCACAGGGGCCAGGAGACTCTGTGCAAAGTGTCAGGAGGCCCATTCCGGTGTCCCACAGCTGTCACACAAGCTAGGTTCACTCCAAGGTGACAAGCATGTGCTGTAACATGCATAGAATGTGCTGCTTTCCGAACTCGAAGGCACTTTCCGCACCTCCCGTGGAGCCTGCTGGACTGAGGGCAGTCAGCTGACAGGGCCTCTCCCCCTCCAGCCTGGCCTTCCTCTCCTGTCCCATGGCCCTGCCATCTGTAGCCTCTCATCTACCACACCTCAGGCCCGGGCTGGGCGGTATAGTACTCATTCCGTCTGCTACCGCTAGACCGTGGTGCCCCAGCGAAACTGCCAGGCTGTTCCATCCCTGTGTTGTTCCATACAGGAGCCACTGGGCACTGGGACTGGGACTACTGCAAGTGGAGGCCGAATCTTTTTCCGTAGGTACAGTTACCACTCTGCATTTGTGGATTCGACCAACCTCGGATCGTGTGCTGTGCAGTGACCCATGATGGGTGAGTCTGTTCTAAACACACAGGGGCCTTTTCTCAGGAGTCCCTACACACAGTACGAAGACGCCTCGCACAGTGTTCACGTTGCATTAGGTATTAGAAGTCATCTGGAAATGCCTGAAAGCACACATCAGATGTGCAGACACTATATGCAAACACCATGGGTTGTGTACTGGAGACAGCACAGCAGTCTCGTGGGCAACAGTCCAGGCCTGAGGGACAGGTGCCCCTTGCTGCCTGGGTGGAGCCCACATACCCAAGAGAAGCCCAGTGTGTGCGGTGCCATGGATTTGGGAATGCACAGGCGCTGGGAACCTATCCCCAGGGCCACTGAGGTGGTTGTGATTTTCATTAACTGCCAGGAGTTAGCTGCTAAGGGTTCCTTATGGGACGGCACAGGGCAAGCTTTCCAGGAAAGGGCCAGATGCTGACTGCTGTAGGCTTTGTGGTCAGCTGCAAGGACTCACTTTGGGTCTGAGGGGAAAACCAGTCACAGATGATATGCAAATGAGTGGGTGGGGCCGTGTCCCAGTCAAACCTTATGCAGAAAATAGGGCAGGCGGCCAGGAGGATTTGGCCCTGGGGTGTAGTCGCTGCACCCAGGCCACCACTCAGCCTTCCTCTCAGGCCCAGGATGGCTGCCTTAATCCCTTCACATTGCACACCTCCAGCCCAGAGCCCTCTTTCTGGGGGACCTTACCCTGGCTCCTAGTTTCCTTCTGCTGCCCCAACTGCCCCTCCCCATGCCCCCAGCCACTCCAGTGTCCAGGGTGAACTATCCTGCACTTCCCTGGCCCTGCTGCCAGTGCCCTCCTGACCTTCCACTTTCTGCCAGCTGTCCCGGGGTCTCACTGGTGACCCCCTGTTGCTGAGACCATCCAGCTAGTTCACAGTCATCCCCTCCTGGGACCTCATGCCCTTGCCTCTCTGCCCTGTCTGCCTGCCCCAGGGTTCTGTCTGTTTCCTGTGGGTCTGCCCTGCAGGACAATCAGTGCCATCGGAAATTCACACTCAGTCGTGGTCCCAACACATCCCAGACTCCTTGACAACACAGACTCTTCCTTGGACAGGAGCTCCTTCATCATACTGCTCTGCATCTTCTTTTGGGTACTGAGGATCAAACCCAGGGCCTCTGTACTGAGCTGCATACCCAGACCTCTTTGTTTATTTAGAGGCAGAGTCCTGTTAAGTCACTCAGTGGACTACGTTGCCCAGCCTGGGCTCCAACTTGCAATTCTCTTGTCTCAGCCTCCCAGAGTACTCAGATCACAGGTGTGCGCCACCACACCCGGCTCCTCTTTCCATCTTTTCAACTTCTGCAGCCCTTGCCTCTCCTGCACACTCTGGTCTGCATGGCCGGAGCTGATCTGCCATCCTTGCCACTTCTCTGGGAAGCAGCAGAGTCCCTTCTGGAGTCTGAGAATCCTGCATCCCACCCCGCCCTCCCTATGGGACCCTTTTGTCCTTCCCCCTGCACTTAGCCATGTCCTATCAACTGGGTCCTCTCCGGGCTTTAAATGTGCTCTGGCCTCCCCAAGGGGGCTTAAACACCCTTCGCCGCATCCCTGAATCCAGTGGACCCTTCTCCTCCCTCTGGTAAGAACTGCATAGTAAGAGTTCAGTAATAAATATATTAATATCTTTTCTCAAAGAATGAACATAGTGTCCTTATAAATAGGACCCCAGCAAGCTCACTGGCTCTGCCATGTGAGGACACAACAAAAAGTGACACCTGCACCCGTGACTGGTGCCCGACCACACTGTCACCAGGACCCATTTCCGGCCTCTGGAACAGAGGCCTGTTCAGAAGCCACCCGGGCTACGGCACTTGCCTGAGGCAGCCTGGACTAAAACATGACTCTCCAGCCCCAGAATACTCCTCACACTACCCCAAGAGGGCCAGAAACCTGGTCCTTTGTGCCTGCTTGAAGCCTCCTCTGCATCTCAGGACAGAAGCTGGCATCCCTGGGCCTCCAGACCGGTGTCCCGTCTCTGGAGGGAACACCACGTAGGGCAGCAGGAGGTGGGCGTGATGACAGGGGAGGTGAGTGGGCCTTGGGCCACAGTGTGCGGCCACTAGTGGGGGAATGGAGACGCTGAGCCCCCAGGGCAGCCAGGCCTCCGGACACAAGGTGGCGCTCTCTGGGCACAGAGCAGGAAGTTCAGCTTTGGGGTGGGCAGTGCTCTAGGTTATTAAAGTAATCGAGTGTCTGTCATCACTACAAACCCACACTCAGACTAGAAAGCATGAGGTCACCGTCAGGTCTGACGACAGCACCGACCTCAGGCGGAGGCAATCCTGGCATCTGGCGGCCTGGAGGCCAGGTGCAGGGAGGTGGCCCTGTTCTAGGAGCCAGCTTCTCCGTCCCCCACTAGGGAGTGAGAGGCAGCACCCCGCTGCGGTCACACTTCACGGAGAAGCTCCTGAGGAAAGAGCCACCCTGGAGAGGGGCCTCGGCTTCCGAGCCTGCGACTCTGCAGGACCCCGCCTCCGGGACCTACTCATCCTGGGCCAGGGCGTCTGCTCTCGGGCTGCATCAGGAACTAAGAGGCTGAGACATGGGTCCTGCTGAGCACCAGGCCAACCTCAGAGCAGGTCTCCCCAAGTCATGCAATTGTCACGGACATCTTCCCAGCGACAGTGGCCAGGGGGGACGGCACCAGGTGGGCGGGACAGGACCGGAGGCCTCTGCCTCCTAGGAGCAAAGCCATCGGGAATCTCCAAGGCCACGCCCTCCGAAAGGCACGGACTACCTGCTTTCTCCTGGAGGGCCAGGAGCTGTCACCCCGGGACACTGTGGCTTGTGGAAGGGCACGAAAGCCTGGGCTGCCCTATAGGACTCCACTGCAGGGTAGGTTTGGCTCCTCCTGTCCCGTGGGCACGGCCCTTATTCTGATGCTGACAAAGTCCTTGGCCAGCTGGGCAGCGCTGGCTGTGCCCAGTGGGTGAGGGGCTCATGGGGACGGCGCCCATCTGTCCACAGGCAGTCGTGGTTTGCACTGCTGGTGCACCAGCTGGGGGACACAGAGGCCACCCCAACAGAGGCCACAGGGACATCACAGGCAGCAGCCTCCACCATGCCCCCTGCCCCCGGGGCTTCAGACTGAAGCACCCCAGTTTTCACTGCCTCGTGCACGCTTACCCTCGGGTCTTGTGCTGCCCACTAAGCATCGTTCAGCTGCAACCATCATTTGCCAATGTCACCCCAGAGTGAGGCCAGACGGTGACCATTACTGGCCAGGAGATGGCGCCACTGTGTTCTGCAGGAAGGTGATGGGGTGCCAGTGTCCTCACGGGCTGCACAGCACCCCATGGGCCAGGTTCCTACGGTGTGGGATGCAGCAAGCCTTGCCTTTTGAACTCAACTTCCGCTTGGGAGGCTGCTGCCTTCCAAGCTCTCGCTTGCCAGTTCCTTAGGCGACCTTGGTCAGTTCTCCACGCCTTGCTAAAGTTCACACTTCTAGCTCAACCCATGTCTCCGAGGAGATTTATGGAACACAGGCCTCACGTCCACTGGAGAGCGCTGCACCCCACCAGGGCCAGCCTGGGGGCCCAGACGCCCGTGTGTAAGCGGCGTCCACCTGCAGCAGTGCCCACTCCCTGGGACGAGGCCCCGGAGCAGACGAGGTCTTTGCTGCAACTCCGACAGATGCCTCAACTCTGCCGGGAGTCGGTGTGCCTGCCTTCCCCCTCTGCCAACAAGAAACAGGGCAGGAGGCAGTGAGAGGACCTCCTGCCTGCCAGCCTGGCCCCTGCTTGTGTGGGAAGGAAACCAGCAGAGGACAGCAGGGCTGTCACCACAGGGGCGAGGCCATTTTTCAGACCCCAGCCGCACTTCTCAACTGCAGTCCTGAACTGCAAAGCCAAAGCCAAGCATTTCCTTTCCACAGAGAAGCTGGGCCTGCACATTTTGGTGCAAACTGCTCTTACTTTGCTCAACTCCTGCACTGCCCGTGCACCTGAGACCACCAGAGGGAGACGAATGACAAAAGAATCAAGACTTGGAGGAGTCCTGCCTCCCCAGAGGGGATTTCTCCTCCTCGGGAAACATCTCTGAGGGCCTTTCTCACAGTGTCAGGCACCGACTGCCTGGAGCGCAGGGCTAAGAGGGACCAGTTCCTCCCCGGCCTGAAGAAGCTGCAGCCTAAACGGCCCCTTAGGAAGCCCGGGTCCTGGTGGCCCCTCGTCAGCAACCCGGACAGGGAAGTGGCAGGGTCTCACGGAGCTACCCCCGAGAAGGGTGATCTGGCATCGCACAGAGGGTTCCCACCCGCCAGCCCGGCCCCAGGCGGTCTCGTTCAC